AAGAATTGAATGGCTAATGGTTGGTAATATTAACGCAAACGATATCTATAATATTTTATTACAGTCAGTAATTTTTTTATCTAGGACTGTATGTCAGTGTTAGTAAATCACATAGTTAAAAACATATCTTAGTAACTAGTATTTGAAGGAATGTTCTATACGTGATCTGGGCAAATCCACGTCTTTAATTTGTTTAAACCAACAAAAGTTTTTAAGTGTTTATCCTTGAGAAGTCTACGAAAGGCTAATTCATCTACCAGTTTGCATATCTAGGGTGGTTTAATAAATTAAATACATGACTATAGAATAAATAATCAACTTTTGAGAAGTAAACTATTCAATACACTTATCAATATTCAGTTGTAACAAAATAATATACTATACATTTTGGACATAAACACTTGTGATTTTAGATTTCTGACAAACTTTTAGGGTGCCAGTACTGTTTGTGTGAAACTCATTGTTAGGATATTCACAGGAATATCCCAAAAATTATCTCGAATGTAAATTGGTATGTTTTCAGTCTCTTCACATATTTTACATGTTATTTCCTATTGGTCATTATTACAATTGTCCTAACTATGACTTTCATGTGTCGTTTTCCTATTGATCAATTTTGAGTTGTCCTAATTATAACATTTACGTGTCCTTCCTTTCCATTGGTTACTGTTAATAGTCATCTTAACTGTATAAATAAGCCTTGTTTGTAAACTATTTTTGTTCTGCTGCTGACCCCATAAACAATTCTCATTTGACGGCTGTGTTCTGATTTATTGGAGTTGGGGAACAGTATTGGGGTCGAACTAAGATATCTGAATTTGGTCAATCGTTAGAAATTCGCTTAGTCCTATCGCAATACGTAGTATTTGGGCAATTTATAACACTCATATCAATTAGGAATGAAGAAGTATGATTGAAGTGTTTCTACAAGGGATTTTTTAAGTAATTAAGCCAAAAATTACTTTCATGCTTACAGACATTGAATTTTAGGCGGTTTTAAGAAAAAATAGCAACAATGAATAGTAATATGTGAATCTGACTAGTTAGGTTACAAAAAGAATCACATGTGTGCATTGCGTTTCAAAATGTATCAAAGGTGATGACTGTATTCTTCTTGATGTATTCATACAATTGCCTTTGTTTAGGATTGATCTACTAAAGTATCCTCTATAGTAACCACTAGAAAATAGATTTTCAGTGTTAACAAATAAAATTTTGGTTTTAGTCTTCCGGAGTCTTTTGTTGAAGAAAATGTATTCGTCATACTGAACTGGTACTAAGTAGCTTATGCTTCAGTGAATATTTCATGATAGTTAAAAAGACAGACTTCTTAAATCAATGAAGGATACTGGCAGAATAAATATATTCCGGCTATTTATCAGTCTTTATAACGGATTTAGTAACTGTTATTAAGACCTCCCTATAACAAAACAGCTGGCTAATTAAATATAGACATTTATATACTTGTCTATGTTTAAAAAAACATATGGAAGTACACCTCGACAAATATAGTTTCTAAGTGTTAGTTTATAATGAATACGTTACAAGATGCTTTGAAGAGTATGTTTAATTGAAGATAAATATAAAACTTATTTGTTATTATTATAACATTCCAAGTGTCTAACATTCAATCACTTTGATTTCATCTCTAGACAATCTAAAATTAATATTTTTCCTCTCTCTCTCTTTCTCTTTATTCAGAATAGAAAGCGATTATGTGTCTAGTTGATAGTTATGGAAAATAATTTTTTTTATTGTGTATATATTCAATCAAATTATCTGGTATATTTTTTGTATTTCATTGGAATATAAAAACAAAATGTTCAGTATAAACTTGAATTCAATTTTCCTAATGAATATCAGTTTGATTATTTTATAGTTGAAATTATGAGTCAATTCAAGGTAGACAACCATGAAAAACCTGAAAGCACTAGATGGCCGTTTCATCCTATTGTGAGACTCCTCAGAAGTGCAGATTTACAATCCCAACTCGCGAGATTCGAATCCAGGACCTATCAGACTCGCGCACGAGCTCTTGACCTCTAGCCCACTGAGCCAGAATCCAACGGTGTTAATGTCTAATTTCAACCAATCTACGAAACTATTGTCTTCAGTGAGACGGGGTCGTGAATGTGTACTGCTGAGGAGTCCCACAAATGGACGAAACGGCCGTCCAGTTTTTCCATTATAGTCTAGCTTCAATTGACTCATGATTTCAACTATAAAATTACTGAAATCTCCACGAAAAACCCTTCCGAGTTTGATTATTTACTGAAACTGAAACTAATGAGTTCTTTAAAAAAATTTATTTATATAGTTTCAATTTAACACAAGGAGAGAACTAGAAACTTAAAAATGAGGAGTATATATATATAACATTTGCTATTTAATCTCATCTGTGTGACCTCACTGGTAGTCATGCTGCATTGCGAAATACTCAATACGGTACAATTTTAATTTAATTGATTAAGAAATAATATAAAATTTTTAGCTTGAATATGAAAATATCAAGAATGTGTTAGAAAAGAACTGATCAGTATAAATTCTTATGAGTGGGATATTTAAATGAATTATTCATTTGAACATCAACTAGTGTGAACATGTACCAAAAAGGTTGCAGACACAAATTAAATCAAATGACATAATAAGAATAGATGAGGAACATCCATCATCCTCTATTGCTAAACATATAATCAAAACAGGCCATAAAATTGATCTTAACTCGGCTTTTGTGGTGTTGTATAAATGTGTAAAACGGTTTATATTGAAGCCGTAGTGATACGAAAATCCAAACCCCCTTTGTGTATTCAAAAACAGTTTGTTCTCATCTTAAACCTACCCTGGTGAAATGAGCTAATTATCCAGAGTGATTAGGTATAAAATTGTTCTCATATTATTTCATTATTATTATTCTTGTCTCCTCTTACCCCCGATTTCCAGTCTAGTTGACTTTTTATTTTTATATATAAATGCTCTTAACAAGTACGTGTGATCAAATTGTTCAAAATACATCACATAGTTCTGATAATTTTCGTCTTCTTATTACGCTATCGAAATTAGTGTTCCATTTGCAACTAATAATCAAAAGTCTGAACAGAGTGACACTAAGTCCTCAACTCCTGAAAAAATCGAAATACCTTCAAATAAATGAAGGCAAGGTCACAGTGGTTTAAATAAAGTGGTCGTTTAAAAGATGATAATTTATTTTAGCATAATCAGGTTTACTAGTATACAATGAAAAGTTTAAAAGTTGGAAGAAATCTCATTTGACGATAAAAATCCTCTCGAAGTAATCACAGTACAGTAGGTTTGATAAGTGTAGTTTCCTAGGCCTAAGGAAATCTTCGATTATCGTTCTAGACCTATGCACAACACAGGAATAAGGAACTCAAGAAAATCGTCAACGGTCCACTATAGCTGATATCGAACCGTGGATAAATTGTTATTTATATAATATGTGGTTAGATAATTCCAAATAAATTGTTAAGTCTGTTTACGTTCTCTATTCTCATTCTCTTCCCTTTAACTGTTTTGTGTATTTTATACTACATATTAATATCCAGTAAATAGTTGCATCCCTAGCCATTTCTTAGTTTATGTTATAATGTAAGTTTGTCGCGTAATATTCTAAAATATTTATACATACTTATAACATTTTTGTATTTATCATTATAATTACTGTAGCAGTTATTCTGTTTTTGTATCATCGCAACAGTTTCCATATTGTTTGCTCTTGCTTTCGTTTTTACTAGTTAATAATTTTAAATACAGTCATTCAGTCAGTCGGCTACAACGTAGGACCAGGCTCATATATGCATCGGTCCAAGTGGTCATACCTCATTAGCACAACAAAATGAACACCGGATTCATAGAAGTAGTTAATTTAGTGGTGGTAATATATAAAAGAAAGGTTTTATATAAGGATATAGTAAAGGAAGGAAGAACGTTATGAAGCAATTTTAATCTCAAGGTTTAAGAGAAGATAAAGAGTGTATACACTACGCCACTGTGATCAATTCTGAGCCATGCCACCTAGAGTTTCCAACCATTGGTAACGGTAGTCGCGCAGACGCCAACCAGGTAGTCTGCATCTACCAACATGGCTCAGACTACAAGTTAGTGACTTCAAGCACTGATGACACATTTTGGTTTGACTGCCACTAACTTTCGTTTATCTGTCTCCAACACTAGTCAGCATGGCGCGTCGTTGTAATCGGTGTTCAGGCATACGTAAAACATATCCCGATCATCTCAGTCGATGTAGATTCACAACCTCATCAAGTGATTTACCATCATCATTCTCTAATACCCTATGTCTAACCTCACAGCAGATGCGAGCAATATTTCTAAGACATCTGTCATCAAACACTAGTAACTAACGAGTATCTTCTACTCTTAATGGCCATGTTTCACAGCCGTAAAGTAGAACAGAGCGAACCGCTGTGCAGTATACTCGTCCCTTAATTGATAGACGGATATCTCTTACAAATGGAGCAAAACACCACTGATACCTCAGAAGTTGAGGTTTGTAACTAATTTATGTATACTGTTCAATAAAGAGTCGCTTTTCAAACAAATCGTTGTTTCATGATATATTTGATTTCGCTCATACCTATCTTAATTGTGTGTGTGTGATTGAGACACTTTGATAGATTCAACATAAATATTAAATGGTAAGTATGAAGTGAAATCATGATGAATAATAACACAAAAGCAAGTAGGATACTTTTTGTTTATTCATATTATAAGTAAATGAAAAACAAGAAAAAACTATTTTACAAAAAAAAGGGACACATTTTATCAATTAATGGAATGACAATTAAAATCTATCAAACATAAACTAAAGAAACCGAATAGTTGATTGATCTTTTTTTTAATGATGATTACATAATTCATCATTCATATACATAAAGTATGTCATTAATCATAAATATAGATAAGTGAATAATAAAATATAATAGATAAATCAAATACAATAAAAATATATAACACTTTTATCATTAACAACTAATTAATTGCCACAATTCAAAGGTATCAATGATGAATGAGACACTGTCACCTAGTGTAGATGGATAATTTATAGTTGGATTTAATGGATTAAAATTATGATTGTTTTGTATAATTACATTTTCATTTTTATCAGATTTATTGATTGATAAAGAAGAAAATTGTATATCTGGTAAATTTCCACTAAGTACAGGATTATCAAATGTATCTGTTGGTTCACTACAACCATATTTTAATGATTCATCAAACCATATTGCATTTCGTCCACTTTAAGATTTAAAAAAAAAGACCAAAAAGTAAATAAATAATAGGCGACAAATGTGATCATAATAACGATTGTAAGGAAAAAAAGATGAATTGACTACTTAATATAATTTGTCATATGATTCCAGTTTAGTAATCTGTTCCAGCGAAATTCCATTTGTAGAACTTACTGGGAATGTTCAGGTGAAATTAAGATAGATAAAGGGAATAAATGGATGTAGAGGATCTACCTAGGGGTCCAGAAATATCTTGAATGGATTAATGTTAAAAATTTTCATAGTTGAAATCATGGGTCAATTGAAGATAGACTACCACCGAAAACCTGAAGCACTGGAGTCCCATAATAGGACAAAACCCCCTCTGATCTAATGTTAAAAATGATAATCGTTCAATTCTTAATCGGTTGTTTAAATGCAATATGCTCTTAGAGTCATTTGATGGCCTCAGGTTTAAACTCAATTTAGAGACAATATTTTGGATTACTAAATAGATCAAAGCTAAGATGGAACAGCTACCTATTATATTTTCTCATGTAGAGTCAATTAGTTAGTCATCAACATGCGCAGAGCCTAACACACATGTACGTTGGTTCAAGTTGCCACATGATACCAACCAGATGATGAAATTAACAGGATGATTATCAAACGAGATCGAAGCAATAGAGTAAATATAACGGATAACTGTTTTCTCTCAAAACTTCTTCGAATGAAGTCATTCTATGATCTCAAAAAGAAAATATTTTCAAGGTGAAACAGTTCAAACTTGTTAAAAATTGACTTAATAAACAGTTGATGCCAAACTTAGACTTCATATAACAGTACACATTACATCCTAAGATGCATTGTACACAAAAAATTGAACATTTATCATTATACATATCAAAATAATTGCAAAAATAAACAAACTTACCTTTGACCACCAATATGAAATGAATGAAGAGATCCTCTCATGAAAAAATAATTCTTCTTAGTCCAACAATATTTCTGTAATTAAAAAAAGTACGAATTTCGTAGAAATTCAGTGTACGTTTAAAATGTTTGTTGTACTAATGAAATAGAAATATGGGATAATATTGAATTAGCAGCTTGCAAAAGTAGAGTGAACGAGCTTGAATTAAATCACATAACAGTTAAATGAAATAATTTAAGATTGGTAACATTGTATACTTGTGATGAGAAGCACAAACTGACGCAGATAATGTCGATACCATTGAATAATCACTGTATAGTATCGCTTGATGCGAAACCTGAAAGATGTAGGTTTGATTGAATATAGAGTTGTACGTATATACTACTGATTAGTTCGTAAGTGTTGGAGGTTTAAGATTCTTTTCTTATAAATATCACTCCAACAGATGTCAGTCCACAATAGGAATTAACTTTTAATACTTCTTAATGATAATAATAATAAATTGACCATCGATGAGATACTCTTGGGTAGAACCAATCACCTTTAACATAATCTTATTGATGCTTATATATTCTTTTATTCCGGTTTTAATCATATCAATTAATTGTTCAAGCATTTGTTATTTTCACCATGATAATATAATCCCTTTTTCATTATCAGTAACTACAACTTCACTTTTTCTACTCTGAATCATCATGTTTATCAACATAAAGATACGATTTCATTTTCATGATTTTTAATTCACATATTTTGCATTTTGTACCTCTTTTTATGATTTTCAACTTCACTTCAAACATCTATCTTAACTTAACGAAGTAAATTATGTAAAAACTTTTATTTAGAATTACATTACTTCTAGTAAGTTTAACGCTGTTTGCAGCTGATGAGAATGTTTGTAGTAGAACAAAAGAAGTACTCCTATTCTTGCTTTGTTTAAACAAATTCAATAGGATTGATAGATATAATTACAACACGTGAAATGATAAGAATAAATGTGAATTCAATTATGATAATTTTAGTATTTATGATTAAAAGTAGTGGAAATATTAAACACCAATTGCTCAACACTGTGCAACAAACGTTACACACAGTCATCAAAAAAAACTAAACCTTTAGAACAATCTAGAGGAAGCTTTTTCCAGAAAATATGAAATTAGTGTTTGGTGTTTAGTGAGAATACAACTAGTAAGAAATACATTGTTTAATCCCTACAAATTTGTGTACATTCTGAATAATATTACTACACTATTTAAAAGCTTCCAATGAGAAATAGAAGGATATATGGGAGTAAATAATAATCAACACACAGTTAAGAATCTCGACTCTAAAGTTAAATTATGTAAACTAGAACGATTTAAAAATCTAATAAACGAAACCATATTCGAAAGGTAGCGAACATATAAAAACAACTGCTGAAGTAATTAACTTTCATTTGCTGAATAAACTTCAGGTGACTGAGGAAGAACAATTACAATACAACCGATTTACAACAAGATAAGTGTTTTAATTTGAACGATACCAAAATCTACTCTGAGAAAATACTAGTCACGAATTTTAACTACTTACCATACACTTAAGTAATATCTCGAAAATAAACAAAATACGCAACAGAAGCGTAACAGGAAACTGTGGAGCATTAATAAAATTTCTAATCATGATAACAAACTATAGTACAGTAAGTTAGTAGGTCGAGTAAACGCCGCTTAAAGACTGATCAATCGAAAGAACAAATAATTTGCATGTTAGTCCAAACGTAACAAAAACAATAATGATCATTCATTTTTGCACTGGTTGTTTGGATCTTCCCATTTATGTTTAGGACTGCAAATGATCAATCTCTTACAGGCATATATGCGTTCCATGCGGATGGACTGGATATTGCTATCTAGGAACAAAAGCGCTTACTGGATTTCACTACTAGCCACCATTTATCTTTGCTTATAAAGATAAGGACGAACCTTTGTGAACACAAGAAAACCAGGGAGTTCATCCCATCCATCATCTCAACTTCAGATAATTGACTTGTACTCAGTGAATTGAGAAAACAGACGAACTATAATGTAGGTAATCACAAAGAATATCAAAAATCCTGAAAAAGTACATTATTAAATAGACGGTTTTCATCAAAAGAGTACAAATCCCTATTCCTTAGTAATATTATCATCGACCAGTAAGTTCAAACCTGTAACAATGTCGGATTTGCTCTGGAGATTTTTTAAAGTCTTGAAGTATTTAAAAGTAGGGATTTTCTTTGTCTAGGTTAAGAGTCATGAAAATTAGTGGGCAATGTCAATTTATTTCGTCTTTAACTGGTTTTGGAAGTCTGAAGTGATTGAAAAAGGACGACTAATTTGGTTGGAGAAATGAATAAATGAATCATTAACGGATAGATCAGAAAATAATGCATAGGGAACAGCAAAATCAGATCTACGAGAAATATCTTTTGTTCTAACTATGTAATTATATATGTAGATCGCAACATGCGCTTATGCAATTTCGTAATAACCCCACAACTTATACTGCTGAGATATGAGGAGAAACATTATTCGGGCTTATCATATACCTCTTTCCTGTTTATTCTTTAGAAAATTGAGACGAGAATACATTTGAATTCAAGCTTTAACTATATGACGTGGTAAAGAAATGGTCAACAACACTTACAATTAAAGACAAACCTCAGATAAACACTAATGCAATACATTTTATTATACATATATCTTGAATATTCACATATGGAATATCGAAGTTAAAGTGAAACCTATGAAAATATTGTTTGTTATAACAACTAAACATATAGTCGTAAATAAACCTTTTCTTAATGAAGAAATTGTGACTATTGTAACTCATTAGCCTTGTGGATAACATAGTATAGGGTATGAGAAGCTGGTGAAATCGTGTTTGAGTTTCACTGAAAAGAACAATGGTACAATTCAACAAAATTCAGAGCACGAATTCAAAACAAGACAAAATAAGTATCATGTATTCTAGTGATAGCCACTATAAAAGAATTATCATCAAAATATGTACTGAGCAACGAGTAAAAGATTTGGATATATATATTTATACAGTTTTCATTAACAAATGCTTGGATGAAATCTGATCTTAGTTATTTTTAACACATCAGTAGAGTTTGTTTAAAAAGCTAAAGAGAACATATGTTGATTTAAATTTACAGCTCACGTAGAACAGTGATAATCCATGTGACTAATGCACACATTTAAATGACGAAGTGAACATGGTATGTTTTGCTGATTGTTAACAGATAATGTGAAACCCAGTTCTAGGACTCGGTTATGTTCTGTTGATCATTTAAGAATAAATATTTAATGTACATAGTCGTAAAACATACCAATAAAATATTGAATAAACAATGTAGTAATAATAATAATGTTATAATGGAACGATGTGTAAAATAAGACATAAAATACTCACTTTAAATGTTGGTTTCCAATGAAAGACAAATGTTTCACCAGTCCCATAAAAATGTTTACTACATTTCATTGTTTCCGACATAACAGCACCAAATACAACACCCATTGTATCACGTATAAGCAATAGAACACTACCTTCAACATCTTTACACTTTCTGTACACTGTGTTTAAACTATAGCCATCATCTTCAGATTTGTAGATTGAATTTAAGTTAGAACTAGTCCAATGTGCAGGGAAGTTAACACTTAGCTAGAAAGTAAAGGGATAATTAAATTTAAGATTAGAAATACAAACAAAATGAATATGTGGTGTAGTAAGGATAAAAACAGTAAAGTATCGATATTTTCGTATTGATTTTTAATTACTGGATGAAAAATACAAGGATTGGGAATTGGTAATCATTGTCAAAATTGTATAATCAGGCTTAGTGACTATTTCATTGAAATCATGAACCAATCAATGTTAGATCACCATTGAAAACCCGGAGAGTCATTTTGTCTTATTATGGAGCTCCTTAGAAGTGTGCATCCACAATCCCACACGCGGTAATCGAACCGGAGACCTTTGGTTTGAGGCGAAAACGCTTAACCTCTAGACCACTGAAACAGGATCTAACGGTGTTAATATCTAATTTCAATTAACCCACGATTATTATCTAAAACTAATTTCGGGCTAAATGTATAGTGAAATGAAGCATGATCAAAATTCAAGGATAATTTGGTAATGTTTGAATAAATTCTAAAATTTTTACACTATGAGTGAAGGGTAATTATGTTGTATAAAAAAGCAAAAAAGTGTAAATATCTATTGTTCATCAATCTTAACAAATAAAAAGAAAAATTACTCATAACAGAAATTCTATAGACATTTTCGTCATGCCCATGAATGAGCAATAATATAAGAGTCAAGTATCGCTTCTGAAAACAACTGTAAACGTACCTGAACATCGTAATGAGTTAAAACTGTTTGTGATAACATTTTCTTCCCATATTTACACAAAAACATTATATTAATTCTTCTGTAACCGTATAAAATACCTCTCATTAGTAACGTTTTTCTAAACTATGTTTAGTTTCTAATTAGAACACAATTCATGTGGTATTTTAATCAGGAGATTTGTGGAGATCTCAGTATTTTTCAAAGTTGAAATCATGAGCCAATTGAAGCTAGACAACCATGGAAAACCTGGAAGCACTGTACGGCCTTTTCGTCCTATTATGGACAATCTATTACTTAAAATTACAAAACATTCGGTTCAGAATTCCTGGTTGATTCAGAGAATAATAACGCTTAATTGTTGACGACTGTTAATTAGAGAACTAAAAGTGATGACCTTGTAGATAAGATCTACGAAAATGGATTATATTGTAATTAACATGTAATTTTGCAGAATGTTACAATAATCTAGAGTTTTAAAGAAGCACCAGCCAGTTTACAACATGATTAACGTAACTGTTGATTGCTCAGAGAATAGAGGAAACAAACATTCTGATAGAAGTAAATAAAAAAGAAATATGTGATAAGAAAAGTACTATAAAACTAAACAATTATTATAACAACCCCAATTGTTTGAGTCTTTTTATTCATAGGATGAACTATTTACAGAGTCAGAGGTTCCATGAAAAACACCAGAAGTTAGTGTTATCATGTACACAGTTATAGAAATTTCTCAGAATTGCACGCAACTGTACTTTACCTAACCAGGTTTGAATATCTTATAAATAATTCCATTTAAATGTTAATAAGCACAAAAAAGTAAAGATATTTGATTATAACTACTACTTCTAATTAAGACATTTAATAACTTACATCTACTAGCATGTCATTAGTTAATATTCCGCTTTCACCACCATTGAGTATTGGTACATGAATAGATTGTTCCAGACTTTCTAACATTTCTTCAACTAAACTACGACGATGACATACTGTGGAATCAGGATCTAACGACTGTCCCTATTGACGAAAAAAATCACAAAGAATATAAACATGATAATAAAAACCTTATAATTATTAAACAGATCATATAAAATTACCCAATGAACTAACGGTGTCTTTCATTCATCTTTCCATACAGAGATGTTAAGGAAGTTAAGAAAAAATCCTGTAGTGTTATGAGAATATATATACATAGCAATCCAAGCGCCTTTTAACACCAAATATTAGTCGCTTAACAACATAACACTGAAAAAGTGTAGCACTTTTTTATGTAAGGAAACATTTCATGAAGATAGAAAACTTCGATAACACTCGAAAGTAATAAATATGATATTGGATATAACAAGAAGAAAATTTAAAGGCGCTGTAATATGAGCGTCTTTTTATTTAATAATAATTCTTCTTCATCAACTGCTAACATCCTGTAATAACATTTCAATGTGTAAATTACAAATGTTTTTTAAGACAAATTTATAGATATGAAGAGAGAATTGGTCAAAAGTTTATATGAGTGTATACCGGTATAATACAGAAAAGTTTATTAAGATCTATATAGTTTTTTTTTAAAAAAACAGTAGGAAGATCTAAAATGTGGAATAGAACAGTAAAAGAAGACTGCAGAGCTTGAAAAGGTTAAGTGACATACTAAAAAGATATAATTTAATGATTAAAATATAATGTGCAATAAGCTAAACCTAATTAAAATATGATCATACAAATACAAAAATTCTGAGGAATGTAATAGTAACTACGTGGATAGATAGCTTAAATCCAGAGGATGTGAAAACTTTTTCTGTATACAGAGGCTGTTTTTGTAAATGTATTCCCATAGTTTCTGTTGTATGTGAGTTGGGTTCTGAAACCATAGGGTAGGCTCGGTGGGATTTTGTAAATAACTTCACGTTTCATCTATGTGAGGATCAGTGTCAACTAAATGCTTCCAGATAAAACTTTTCATTACTTTCTTATGTTCTTCGGTCAACTATGACGAGTGATGTTCAAAAATATGACGATATCTTTGTTTAGATGTGAGCATAATACAACTAGCTCCGCAAGAGAAGCTGAAATGGTGAATACACGCAGAGGTAGAAGAACCAAACAATTTATCATTATTCCGTAAAATCACAATCGTCTGATCGAAGAAAGTAAGACTTAATGTTACTTCATTGAATGTAACTTCCAAGGTTCCTTTTGTATAGGTCGAACTACTATTTAGCTAGTTACATTACTTGTAAACTGTAATCTCAAGAAATGAAGCCTTTCATAGTATCGTTGGTGATTTTACTTTCAATTTTTGTTTCAGATACATTAGTCATGATTTTTCTTCAACAGAATCGTCAAGGCTACCCGTCAAACTACCTAACGAAACATATATCTAAAACAAAATCGAAAGGAAAATCACGCGTAACAATGAGTATTTGTATATAGTCTCCATAACTGAGGTTTCTTTATCTGAATAAAGTTTATTATTTATATCTAGGAAAAAGTTAGATATTTCATTTTGCCGTAAGGGAAAAACAAACTTGAATGACTTATGGTTTTTTTGTTCTACTCAATATAATCAATGAAAATCACATAAACTTTGACGGTTATTTTGTAGTCAAGATCTGTTCGTAAACAATTTCAACATTTCAATCAGAATAAATAAACAAGATAAACGTTTGCATGGAACAAAAAAGAAATAAAAAATAAATCACAAGAAAATAATAAGTTTGTTGAATATTCTATTAGAACAACACATGTAAACGAACAATTGTTTTCAATTAGATCGTCATCAGGTTTTACTCGAATATACATGAATGTTTATGCGAGCATTTTAGACCAATCAAGGCTATTTGAGTCAATGATCACAATGAAATAGAATATGTCACCGAGCATAATAGGTAAGAGTACGTCCCAAATAGGACGAAATACAAGTCCTGGATTCCACTGCTAGCCACTATCCATCTTTGCTTACCATGCTTGTGAATTTAGGCTATAACGAGGCAATACACACAGTATGCACATATGCCAATTAGAGACTGACCAGTTGCAGTCCTAAAAACATCAATCGGAAGATCCAAACAAACAGCAATAAGTAAATTTAGAGTACGTAATGATTTTAATGTTTTGTGATTACTATCCTAGTCTGTTTACCCACGTTTGACCTCCTATTTCCAATGTTTAACTATTGATAAGACTTTTGTTATCGTAATTTAATATTCCTACCACTATCAGTACACTTGTATCCCCACTACCAACTTATAGTTTTAACTATTATACTCCGTGATGTATTCTATTTCATTGTGATTATTGACTCAAATTGCTTTGATTGGTTTAACATTTTCGTGTAAATATTCATGTATCAGTAAGTTTTGTGGAGATTTAGTATTTTCATAGTTGAAAGCGTGAGTCAATTGAAGCCAGACCACCAAGGAAAACCTAAAGCAGTGAACAGCCGTTTCGTCCTATTATGGGACTCTTCAGCAGTGCGCATCCACGACCTTGCCTCGCGAGATTCGAACCCAGGACCTACCAGTCTTGCGCCAGAGCACTTAACCGACAGACCACTAAGCCAGCATCGAAAGGTGTTAATATCTAACTCCGACCAATCCACGAAGTTGAGCAACCGTCCGCCAATTGTCTTCAGTGAGTTCCTACCTCACAATAGATGTGGTTTGAACTCCACTGGTGATTGCTTCTCACTAGAACTCCAGGTTTTACCTCCCGAAGTCAGTCATGTATATTAGAGTAAAGCCTGATGACGATCTAATTGAAAACAACATTGTTAGCATACATGTGTGTTGTTCTAATTTTCACAATGGGAATCTTCCATATTCTATTCACATTTTAAATGTGTATAAACTTAATTCATAAACGGTGAAAAGACAAATTGAACTATGTACTCAATTCCAAAAAAAAAATTTAAAAAAATAAAATCTGTAATCTAGAAAACTGAAATGAATTTTATTTAAATAATCTAAAACAAAAAAATATTTCCGTTATCACATAAGTGAGATGAACAATTTAAACAAACAAAAAAAACAAAAAAAACTTTTACAATGAGAGCAAAATGCATTTGTATTTATATGAATAAATGAAAACCAATTTTTATTAAAGGTTAAACATTAGAATCAGTTAGACTCTGTACTATTCATTTATGTGAAGTCATTTAATTGTTCTATTTATCAAATGTTTTTTTTTTGTTTTTTTAATCACAGCAGAAATATCAAATCTTTATAAGGGTTACATTTTGTTTTCTTTCATTTCATATGATAGAAGCCTAACACTGACGATATAATGATACTAAGTTTAGTTAGGAAATGAAATTGTTATTTCACACTTTTCACGTAACCATATATTGTGACTAGCAAACTAGTAGAACAATGTTTGTTTGTTTTTAACTCGTTCTTCAATGTTCAAGTCAAGTTACTACTTAATAAACCATTTTATTATTAGCAAAGATGGATAGTGGCTAGCGGTAGAGTCCAGGAAGCGCATTTCGTCCTATTTGGGACTCGTAAGCTGGATTTACCTGCATCTCAAAGTTGATGTTCACTCTGGGACTCGAACTCAGTACCTTTAGCTTCAAACGCCATCGTGTTATCCACTCAGCTACTGTGTCCTGATAGACAATTGCTTATGCGATGGGGTGAAGTTTGAATTCACTTGCTATCTTTGCTGACAATGCTTATGAATTAAGGTTATATCGAGGCAATACGCACAGTATGCACATATGCTAATAAGAGATTGACCAGTTGCAGTCCTAAACATCAATGGGAAGATTCAAACAAACAATACCATGTGAATTTAAAACAGTAATAAGTTGTTGAATTATAAAGCTAGAAAAAAAAACACAACATGATCTTCGATCGATTTTATCGACTTTGTTTATAAATACTAGTTTTGTTTGTATTTACAATACGAGTTGAATACACTAGTATAATCAATAATTATAAAAACATTGTTTACACAATCTATGAAAGAATTGGGGTGAAATTATTTGATTATTTACGGTGAAAATTTCCATTTAGGAATTTCGTGAAACGTCAAACAGAGCGAAGAAATATTTCTTATCAATCAGTTTTTCATTATAGCTCTACAATAATATATATATATATATATATATATATATATATATATTCATAAAAAATCCCATATCCTTGTAAAATATGAAAATCATACATTAAATACATCATTTGCACATCTGCCCTGAGTTTTACTTCAGATACTCCATTAGTCTTCTCATGTTGTTGTTATTTCGATTGCTCTCTGTTTTCCCTCCTCTTCTCTTTATTTTAATCGTCTGATGGTGAGTACTCTACTTCTAACTTCTGCTACGTACTACTTGTGCTTGTCCGCATATATAGGGCACAGTACATAAATATACATGAAAAAAATACTACGGTTCAAGATCGGGGTAAGGTAAAAAAGTGAATGCATCTAGATCATTGTGAGTGATCTTGAGTCAATTTCAGATATACACTAAATTCATTTAATTTCCCCAAATTTCTTATTTAAGACTTACAGTTGACAATAAAGAAAATCATTTGCTGCTTTCTTAACCTCGGAGTATTTTGATTGTACTATAAACATACACAATATCCCTACGATTAATTTGATGAAAAAATGAATATATATAAGGTGTGAAAATCTGTATTTATATAAGTCTTGTAAACTTCTAAATGTTAGGGGTTGGACGGAAATCTATTGTTCTTGCAGGGACTTTATTCTATTGAATAGTTGGAAATAGACGAAAAAAAGATCTCTTATTAATATGAGTTTATGTTCAGAGTTATTGAGTATTGATAAAATATTACCAGCCAAACAGTTTTCTTAAACCACTTTTAGAGGATAAGAAGTAGAGTACATGAGATTATGCAAAGTACAGTAATCAAATTGATGATAATTCAAAAATGTACATCAGTTCAGAAGCAAATACAATACAAAGGTAAACTAGGCAAAAAGAACTTTTGACTTTCTTTGAAAATACTTACTAATTACGATACAAAATTCTTACTTTATCAGAATTTTCAATAACGACCTGTTCAGAATCATTGTTAACTTCTATATGCTTGTCTAAACTGCCCACACCAGCACGTAAAAGAAAACTGTAGACTTGAGTGAGGCTTTCAAAACAAACAAATAAAAAATTTAGATGATAGTTGACTGATGATACTTAGCATCAGAAAAATATTTCAGAAAAAGGAAAATATTGTCTAGTCTCGAAGAGCTATAAAAAAATCCTTCTTTACACTTACTTTACTTACTTACGCCTGTTACCCCTCGTCGAGGAGCATAGGCCGCTCACCAGCATTCTCTGTCCTGGGCCTTCCTTTTCAGTTCTTTACACTAAGAAGCTAATAAATTTTTACTGTTTTTAATATCAAGCAATCGATTGTTATGTTTTATTGTACTCACCAATAATAAATGAGAAATAAATGGTTTTTAATTTCAAAAATCATAAAAAAATATTCAGCATCCACTCTCCTTTTCAGAGGACATTAATCCATTTATTTGGTTAAATTTAGTCATTTTTAAAAACTCAACATGTAAACGAAAAAAATGGAGACAGACATGAGAAGAATGAACAAGAATTGGATAGAACTAGAAAGGCCCAGGACAGAGTGGGTTGGAGAATGCTGGTCGGTGGCCTATGCTCCATAGGGAGCAACAGGCGTACGTAAGTATGTATGTAAACGAAAAGTTATATGTTAGAAATCAAGACAAGTGATATTTAGTTTCATCATCTATTTGATTATCTGGAGTTTGTAGAACTCCAATTACAATATTTTTACTAAGTTGTTAAATAGTAGCAAAAAGAGATAAAATATTAAACGAATATTAGTCAGTTATTTTGTTAGGGATGTTAGATTTCCAGAAATCACTTGGTAAACGTCTTATTTTTGTAATTTTATTTTGAAAATTTGAATTTCTCATTTTTAAACCCAAAATAACCCATTTGCACCTTCAGTTTGTATCTCCTACTTGGAAGGATCTTAAATAAAATTGGTTCGTTTCCTCTTTCATTACGCTATTTTTCGAAGTTCCCCAAGGGCATTTTCATACTGTATATATACGCATGAGCTGTGTGTTTGTTCGTTCGTGCTTTCAAATGCTTGTGGAATACACTTTTACCTCGCTGAATCTGGACTTCTGTCTCTAGTCAGTAGAGCTGGGGTGCAGTGAATAGTTTAGCTTGTCCTGTAGTTGTGTTGCTGAGTCTCGTTCCGTTTCCTAGTTTGGGTGATATCATAATCTCTTCAAACGTAGCATATTTAGGCACAACGTAGGACCTAGCATGTGTACACAAATTTACAGGTAATCAAGGGATACAATACCAAAAGTAAATTGACAGAAACTGTCAGTGTTACAGAATGTAATTTTGCTAAAGTTACAGAATCCTAGAATAAAATACACCAACGAACAAACGGAAAAAGGATAATTTAGACAAATAAATAGTAAACAGAAAAACAAAAACGTAAACTCCATATTTAAACTAATAAAGAGCAGAATTATGAAAAATAATGATGAAATGAAAACAAATTTTTAAAACAAATTGCAGCTAAGAGATCAGATAAACTGGTACATAGATTGAGTATTGTATGTGTATTGGAATTTGAAGACGAAAAAACGGTGAAGTGTGTTTTTTTACAAAATTGAAAGGACGAAAAGCGAATATCCGGCGCTTTAATCGGGTTAGTGGATATGAAAGATCCACCTGAGAAAGTTGGGAAACCCTGATTCCAAACCAGTGGTGCACATGAGCTCCAGGATCCTAAAAAAACAGATAATGTATGGACCTATTGTTGATCACCGGCTACCATGGGACTGCATCTTTGTTGGAGTGATCCAGAAAACTCACAATAGACAAGAAAGGCTCAGGAAACATTAAGAAGCATTTTATCCAATCAGCGTTTGACTAGAAGTTTTGCTAGAAACATCACGAAAATAAAGTCACATGTGGAGGTTCTGATTGGCTGATTACTACACTGCTACTAAGTTTAGTAGCATTCCAGAATTTTCGGGAAAACCCAAGGACTTCGAAAATACTATAAAAGCCCTATATTTTCTGTACATAAATGAACCTTTGGAGTAAAATGTTTCTCGCATATTTTGCTCCTTTTCTCTCGTGTTCAAGTTTCTATGTAAGTTTTAGCTTGCGGTTTACGGGAATAGCTTAGGAACAAAGTATAGCGTTCAATTAGCAATACTCGTCAATCTCCTTACGTTGCTCCATTGCCTTGTGGATTAGACCTCTGAATCATAGGCTCGGAGCGTGACCTTTTAATAAAACCACCTGCTTCCGTTTGGGAGCCCGGGGAGAATTCTAGCCCTCATCCAAATCGAATGGTTTGTGTGTCGCATATATACTTGGTAACTCTATAAAAATGTTTATGATTTTAAATAAATAAACAAAATATTAGAGTTTGAAGAACTCTAAGTGAACATCAAGTCGGGATTGATATGAATCAATCGTCCTACCTTAATACACAATACCCAAATAATCTATGTTTGTCCTATTTCGTTTTACACCTTTAAAAGATAGTTTCAATGACCAAAAGGTATTCACATAATTTACCGGCATTGAAAACGGTTCAATTGTTCCAGTGGTGAGAAAGCCTGTTGATCAATATATCGCTAATTTACGTTTTCCTAAGGCTAATTTAATGTTCGAATGAAGATGAAGTGATAGAAAATTTCACTTAAGTTGTCCTTTAATTCTCGAATTATAGTCAATCCAGGCCAATATGAAACACCGAAAGGGTGTGAAATAACATAACATTGCTATCGACGATGTTTCAGTCAGTCAGCTATAACGTAGGACCAGGTACATATATGCATCGGTTCAACTTGCCACACCTCATCGGAACAAGATGATCACCAAATTCATATTATCTCCTTCAATGGTAGTAATATGTAAAAGAAAGACTGCATATAAAGATATAATGTAGGGAGAAAGAATTAGTTCGTAAATGTTTAGAAGACTGTGTATTCCGTTAGTCATTTTTACAGAGTCAAATAAGTTTCAACGATGTAGGCGTAAAAAGGCAAAAGTGAGTAGGCCGATGAATCTTGAGACAAGAAACTGTCACCTTCTGAATCAAACTAGAATGACAATTAGCTTTGTGATCCTTGTCAACGTTTTTACATTCTACTTCTATAAAGCTGAAATTTCACGGTAAGAGCTTATAATTATGTGAAATAATTTAAATTTATGAGTTTACCTGCACAGTACAATACATTATTATAAAACTATGATATTTATTCATAAAACTAGGTAGTTTAAGACCTCATAATATGTACATGTATATGTATGTATGTATATATGATAGAAATTAAGGTCATGGCAACGATTTTTCCGAGAAATATTTCTACTAATATTTGCAATAGATAATACTTAGATGAGTCTAATGCTTTCTAAAATCGTTTAATAAATGAATCCATTGTTTAAATGACCATTTTACAGATTTTTTTTAAAAATACAGGAATGTCATAAACTTTTTTTAGTTTACATCATTGACTGACTTTAGCTAGGCGACCACTGAAAACCAGAGGAGGACACTGAAAAGTTGTTTTACACTAGTAGGGGATTTATTAAGTTAGCACTGTCTACTTAACCACTGATAGTACCCTAAACCATTTAATCTATGTGGTGAAAGCGTTTACTCTTGATCACTGGATCGACGTTGAATGGTTCATTTTGTAATGTCAATCGATACTCAATAGTGTATGACTATTATTAAAGACAATCAGTTATGTATAGGTTCATGCCTAACATCATTGAACTCCATTGAAAACGACTTTTTAACCAATATTGGTAGAATATTGAGAAACGGGACAACTTAGTTTGAATTTTAAAGTTCTTGTTAATGTATTGACGTGTTACACGTTGAGAAATCTAAATATAACTCGATGGTCGTACACAGAACAATCCTACTTTCTATGATCTATATCTAGGTATGTTTGAAAGTTAGAAACACTAAAATTGTAGAATTATATAGAGGTAAATTAAGACGAATTCATAAAGCTGATCATGATAATAAAAGACGGTTTAACAACTTATTCTTGTTACTTAATCTATTAATTGACATTTCAAGATGTCCGTTAATGTAATAGGATATAAGGGATCCGATCAGCACTAAAAGTCTACACAAGCACAACATTAGTCACTATTCCGTCGTTCAACCTCCTATTTCCAATGTTTAACTATTGATAAGACTTGTTATCGTAATTTAATATTCCTACCACTATCAGTACACCTGTGTCCCCACTACCAACTTATACTTACTTACTTACTTACGCCTGTTACCCCTCGTCGAGGAGCATAGGCCGCTCACCAGCATCCTCCATCCAACTCTGTCCTGAGCCTTCCTTTCCAGTTCTTTCCAGTTACTATTCAGCCTTTTCATATCGGCTTCTATTTCCCGGCGTAGTGTGTTCTTTGGCCTTCCTCTTTTCCGCTTCCCTTCCGGATTCCAAGTTAGGGATTGAGTCGTGATGCACATTGGTGATTTCCTTAATGTATGTCCGATCCACTTCCAACGTCTTTTCCTAATTTCCTCTTCAGCTGGAAGCTGGTTTGTCCTCTCCCATAAAACGCTGTTGCTGATAGTATCCGGCCAATGGATGTTGAGTATTTTGCGTAGACAACTGTTTATAAATACTTGTACCTTCCTGATGATGGCCGTAGTAGTTCTCCACGTTTCAGCTCCATACAGTAGGACTGTCTTGACGTTCGTATTAAAGATTCTGACTTTGAAATTGGTTGAGAGTTGTTTTGAGTTCCATATGTTCTGCAATTGTAGAAATGCTGCCCTTGCTTTGCCAATCCTTGCCTTTACATCTGCATCCGATCCTCCTTGTTTATCGACGATTCTCCCCAGGTACTTGAATGTTTCCACCTCTTCCAGAGTTTCGCCATCAAGCGTTATTGGTTTGGTTGGTGTTCTCCGTGTTGCATTTGAGAATCTTGCTTTTTCCTTTGTGAATGTGGAGGCCTATCGATGCGGAGGCTGCTGCTACATTTGCTGTCTTCATCTGCATTTGTTCGTGTGTATGAGATATGAGGGCTAGGTCATCTGCGAAGTCCAAATCATCTAATTGATTCTGAGAAGTCCATTGTATTCCGTATTTCCCTTCAGATGTCGAATTCGTCATAATCCAGTCAATCACTAGAAGGAAGAGAAATGGGGAGAGTAGACAGCCTTGTCTGACTCCGGTCCTTACTGGAAATGCATCTGTCAGCTGTCCTCCATGCATCACTTTGCACTGTAATCCATCGTATGAGTTTTGGATAATGTTGACGATCTTCTGAGGAACTCCATAGTGTCGAAGAAGTTTCCACAATGTTCTCCTATCCACGCTGTCAAACGCCTTCTCATAGTCGATGAAGTTGACGTATAGTGATGAGTTCCACTCAACTGATTGTTCAACGATGATCCGTAGTGTCGCAATCTGGTCTGTGCACGACCGATCCTTACGGAATCCAGCCTGATGATCCCTAAGTTCGGCGTCTACTGCGTCTTTCATCCGATTCAGCAGCACTCTGTTGAAAACTTTTCCTGGTACTGATAACAAACTGATGCCTCTGTAGTTCTCACATTGGCTCAGATCTCCTTTCTTTGGTATCTTGATGAGATATCCTTCTTTCCAGTCCGTTGGCACTTGTTCCTCTTCCCAAATCTTTTTGAATAGAAGGTGAAGCATGTTTGCAGTTATTTCAATGTCTGACTTCAGTGCTTCTGCTGGTATATTGTCAGGTCCTGCCGCCTTCCCACTTTTGATTTGTCTGATGGCCATCTTGACTTCTTCGATCGTTGGTGGAGTGACATCTATTGGAAGGTCTGTGTGGGCTGCTTCGATGTTCGGTGGATTCGATGGGGCTGGTCTATTCAGCAGTTCCTCGAAGTATTCTGCCCATCTTTTCCTCTGTTCCTGAATCTCAGTGATTGTCTTTCCTTCTTTGTCTTTGACTGGTCTCTCCGGTTTGCTATATCTCCCTGCCAATTTCTTCATTGTATCATATAGTTGTTTCATATTCCCTTCTCTTGCAGCTTTTTCCGCCGCCGTTGCTAGTTCTCCCATGTATTTCTGCTTGTCGGCTTTAATGCTTTTCTTCACTTCTCTGTTTGCTTCTGCGTAGTCTGCTTGTGCTTTGACTTTCTCTGCTCGTGTTCGGCTGTTGTTAATTGCTAGTCTCTTGTTCTTCCTTTCTTGAAGTTTGTCCAGGGTCCCCATAGAGATCCATTCCTTGTGATGGTGCTTCTTAGGACCAAGAACCTCCTGACACGTTGAAGTTAGTGCTTCTTTTATCCCTTTCCAGTTGTCCTCCAAAGTAGTTTCTTGTCCATCCAGTAGATCCTGTAGAGCTTGGAACCTATTGTTGAGAGTTATCTTGAATTCATGGAGTTTGTCAGTATCTCGAAGGAAGGCTGTATTAAACCTTTGTAGTGCTGTTTGTCCAGTTGTCCAGTCTTTCTTTAGCTTCAGTCTCATCTTGACCACAACCAGGTGGTGATCTGAAGCTATGTCAGCTCCTCTCCGGGTTCTCACATCTTCCATTGATCTTCGGAATTTTTTGTTGATACAGATGTGATCAATCTGGTTCTCTGTGGTGTGGTCCGGTGAGATCCATGTAGCTGTGTGTATGCGTTTGTGTGGTAATATTGTGCCGCCTATAACCAATTTGTTGAAAGCACATAGGTTTGCAAGTCTCTCCCCATTTTCATTTCTCTCTCCTAGTCCATGTCGTCCAATTACATCTTCATATCCTGTGTTGTCCACTCCAACTTTAGCATTTAGATCTCCCATAAGGATGGTGAGGTCCTTTCGTGAGCACTTTGCTATAATTGATTGCAGCCTTTCATAGAACTGATCTTTATCATCGTCGTTGCTATCATTGGTGGGTGCATAACATTGGATAACGTTCATTGTGATCCCTTGCTTCTTTGTTCTGAATGATGCTTTGATTATCCTGGGTCCATGAGATTCCCATCCCACAAGTGCATTTCGTGCTTCTCTGGACAGCATTAGAGCAACTCCCTGAGTGTGTGGCGCATTTTCCCCTTCGTGACCGGAGTACAGCAGCATCTCTCCTGTACCTAGCCTTTGTTGTCCAGTTTGTGTCCAATGGGTTTCGCTGATTCCGAGTACTGCCAAGTTGTATCTCCTCATTTCCATTGCTATTTGGCTGGTCTTTCCTGTTTCCCACATTGTCCGGACGTTCCATGTACCTATAAAGAGTGTTGCTCTGGTTGTTAGAAGGTGCATCGGTCTCGTGACTTCCGAAGAATTTCGGCTTTCATCATGAGACGTCATTATTCCTTCAACTCCCAGGGCAGAGTTTAAATGGTTTGGATTATTTTTTCTGGTTAGCGTTTTTTTAGCGAGTTAGCTTTTCTACGGGATGGGGTCGCTAACCCCATGCCCAACCCTCCTCCTTTACCCGGGCTTGGGACCGGCAGTAACTCTAGAAGAGCTACAGGCGGAGTACCAACTTATACTTTTAACTATTATGCTCGGTGACGTATTCTATTTCATTGTGACTATTGACTCAAATTGCCTTGATTGGTTTAACATTTTCGTGTAAATATTCATGTATATCAAAGTAAAGCCTGAAGACAATCTAATTGAAAACAAACATGTGTTGAACTATTCCGTCACCAATAGGCTGTAAGTACCTCAGTTCTAGAGGAGCTCAGTCACAGCCGTAACGTCTAAGACTGTGAGGCTGAGTAGCACACGTTGGCACTGACCATCAGTTTCCTCGAGAGTACAAACATGCCTTGATGAAGATTGTTAGATAGCACGAAATGTAGGTCAAACGGGGTTTCTAGTTGACTACTTCCAACCTTCTAGCTAATAAATCATTTGTAGCCCAGTAAGTAGCTCAAAAATATGCTAGATTGTCCAGTTGATAACAAAAAGACAAATAAGCAAGATACTGTATATTGATTATCAATAAATTGCTGTAATCACTGAGAGGACTTATGCTTACCGATCTACAGCAAGACGAAATATATGAGTTATATCTCCAACTAGAGTGATTTTCAAGTATAGATCGCTTGTAAACTTAGCTACATTTTTGTCTTCACTGCTATTTTCCTTTTGTAATAATTGAGTCTCACATGTACTCAATGTTTCTAAAGATGTCGGTAGTTGGTGTGGTGATGATGATACTGATGATGACGCTGACAAAGTTGTCTCGATTTCAGGGGGAATTTCATGAATTGTCAACTGTTCATCAATATTGACAGCATAAGTGTTATCGGAGAGACTAACGGAATTGTCGTTTATAATTGATTTATTAGTTTCGTCAGGCTGTTCGTCATCACAATTACTGGGTGAATTAGAATCATTTCGCTGATCATCTGAATAATTAAACAGAAAGAAAGAAAAAGAAATTTTACGATAAAAATTTAATTTTCAATAATAAGGTAGGCAATTTGAATGAACACATAATAGAAGTCTTAAAATTCTATTGGTTACGAAAAATATTTGCTTGATTGATTTCGACGTAAAACCTTACTCACCAATGCTCAGACGTTTTACTAGATTAAATATATTCATTAAGGAATTTCACTAAACTTTAAAAAATGAGATGGTTTTTATAATAATGAGATGGCCGTCCAGTGCTTTCAGGTTTCAATGGTGGCCTAGTTTAGATAGCCCATGAATTCAATTACTAAAATAAGAAAAGTGCCAGAATAATATTCTATATAACCTAGGAAGTACTTGACAATATTCATTAATAGTCTTTATAGCGAAATATACCCCATAAAATTTTATCACAAACTAAAAAGACAAAACGGCATTCATTATAAATTCCCAATTTACCAGCTGTCCACACTAGCCAGTGTTTTGGTTTTCATTTCAGTTATTTATTTATCTATTTATTTATTTGCCCTTAAATGCCCTGGTACGGCCGAGAGTGGGGAGAGTCCGCTCTCCCGCTCGAAATGCTCTCACATGGCCACTCGAATATATAGCCTAAATAAATTTATTTATTTATTGAAACACATAAATATTGGTACAAAGTGGTACCAGATATATATGCGCCGCACAAATCTCATATGATTTGTGTGAGGGCTGAGATACTGCAGAGGTTCCCAGACCGAAGCAGATGGTTTTCTTAGGGGAAAACATCCAAAGCATTTGACCTAAAGGTCTGATTCACAAGGTAGTGGAGCATCATGAGGAGATGCAGTCCTATGGTAGCCGGTGACCAACGATTGGTTCATACGCCATTTGTTCCTTCAGGATACTGCAGCCCATGTGCACCAGTGGTTTGGAAACAGGGTTTTCCAACTCCCTTAGATGGACTTTCCGTGTCCACCAACATGGTTGAAGTGCCGGACATTCGTTTTTCGTCCTCTCAATATCGTATACAACACCCCCGCCACGAGAAGGCAGTGAGTAGGAATTCACTGGCAGAGGTTATATACGCGTGGCCATGTGAGAGCATTTGAAGAGAAAGAGCGTACTCTCCCGACTCTTGGCCGTACCAGGGTAGTTATTCCAAGTTTTAAATAAGGAAACGCTAATTTAGATCTATACATTACAATCAAAATATCGCGATATCTCATTTATACTTACTAAACTATTTTTAAATGATCTTTATCAAACAGACAAATTGATAGATGAATAGGAGCCCCATAGTCCGATACAATGAAGTCAACTGTTAATAATGATAAGTACATAAATGAGATACGGTAAAAGAATTAGTTACACATGCATGAACGATTCTAAATGACAACCTTCTATGTTAATTTCGTTGTGAGTTACTTATTCCTAACTTTTTCAGCAGATAAAAAACACTTATGAATTTACTGTCCATAATCTATAATTACTTAACTAAAACAACCCTATCAGTATGTATACATATACATATATGTTTTAACAGTTACAAAGACACTACACAACTTTGTTATCATTAATCATGTAGTATGTTAGTGATTGTACAAACGAACTTTAGACGAATAATTGAAAATCTAACTTACAAAGATTGGAAAACCATAGATAATATTTTCATATGATTAAAATTATGAATATCGTATGGTTTGAAATAAATCTACTTATAGAATTATAATCAAAAACACACAAATGAAGAAATAAAGTGCTTTAATTGAGATACTATGTCATCTTATAAGAACAAAATCAAATTTGTTCATTGCATTGTAGTATCCTACTCCATAGTGTTGTCAGTCAGTCAGCTACAACGTAGGACCAGGCATATATATGCATCGGTCCAAGTTGCCATACCTCGTTAACACAACAAGATAAACACCGGATTCATTAAAATAGTTAATTTAGTGGTGGTAGTATATAAAAGATAGGTTGTATATAAGGATATAGTATAGGAAGGAAAAAAGTTATGAGGCAATTTTAATCTCAAGGTTTAAGGAAAGACAAAGAGTGTATACACCTACGCCATTGTGATCGATTCTGAGTCATGTCACCTAGCCCGATCGTTGCTGCTACCTTGACGTGGTGGTCGGGCTTGCCTATCGTGATGAAGCAATCGAGCTATGCTGGCTGGAACAGTCGTTCCTCGAGGTCCTACCATGCCAGACAGGTCGGTTGAAGAGCGGTGAGACTAAAAGCAGCAAACCCAAGGTCCGAAGGCGAAGTCGTACTGCTGACTGTACAGAGGTGTGACGGCAGTAAGGTGTTTCTTTCAGACAACCAGCATGACAGGGATGCTGCCTTCCCACAAGGAGGGGTGGGGTTAGAAAAGGTCGACCCTAAAAATGCACACCTCGCCTTATCCCACGGATTTCCGTCTCCGGCGGTAAGGTTTTTTTTTGAAGAACGGAGCTAACACAAAAACTACCCACAAAAAGGTCGTGTGTGGCCGACCTCAAGCAGTTGTCCCTTGGGCACTGCGGTCACGCTCTCAGGTCATTAAGACCACTCCTGACCCAATTTCCTTTTCAGGTACCTCTAGAAGAATCCTTCCACGGTGTGGGCAACCGGGAAGTGATAACTGCCCTCATACCTCTAACAGCACTCAATACCACTGTATTCATAATCAATCTTCTTCTTCAATTCCTACTATTCCCTCTACCTTGATTTTCAACACTAAACTTCCTCTCTCGGTTTCCTCCTCAAGTGTCACCATGGCCAACGATTCTAGTGCGCGAAACGCTGTCCCAGGTCTACTTAAACCTCGCTCCAAACTACACATTGGAGCCTTCAACGTACGTACCCTATGCCAAATCGGTCAACAGGCCTCCTTAGCTAAAACCTTAGAGTCGCGTACCATTGATGTATGCTGTGTCTCCGAAACACGCATACAGGATCCCAGTGTGGTCATTCACTTGACCTCACCTCGCCAAAATGGACAGCCGACGAAATACACCCTCCGTGTATCTGGCGACCCGTTGGCTAGTTCTCGCGGACTTGCAGGTGTAGGCATAGCACTAAGTACAAGGACAGAACAGGCACTACTAGAATGGATCCCCGTTAACAGTCGCCTGTGTGCTGTCCGGCTAAATGGCTCCATAAGAACTCGGAAGGATAGGGACACACGTCGTTGCCTTTTCGTCGTTTCTGCCTACGCTCCCACTGACTGCAGCCATGATGAAGTAAAAGATGACTTTTACAGAAAACTCTCTGAGCTTCTTCAGAAAGCTAAGCGCTCAAACATAGTAGTCGTAGCGGGTGACTTTAATGCCCAGGTAGGCAGCTTAAATCAAACAGAAAGACATTTAGGTGGGTGTTTTAGTATTCCGGCTCAACGAACCGATAATGGTGATCGTCTGTTGCAACTATGCTCAGACAATCGTTTATTTTTAGCAAGCACTAATTTTAAACATAAGGAGAGACATCGTCTAACATGGCGACCACCTGCACCAAACCAACGATGGACTCAAATAGACCATATTGTCATCAGTCATCGTTGGAGAGGCTCAATAGAAGATTGTCGCTCGTATTGGAATACTTGTTTAGACTCTGATCACGCTTTAATACGAGCACGCATTTGTCTGCGCCTCAATGGACGCAGGAAAAGTACACTAAGAAGACCCATTAGGATTGAACTGGAGGACGAGAAAGCCAAATGCGAATTCCAGAAACAACTGAGTTCACATCTAGGCAGTTCTGTAAACGAGACTGACCCAGATGCTGCTTGGAAAGACACACGAACAGCTGTGGAAACGGCAGTAACATCTATTAGTCATTTAAACCATAGGGCTCCAAAAAACCAGTGGATTTCCTCTAAGTCTATTTCACTGATGGATTCGCGTAAACTCATCCCATCAGGCTCTGAACATGACGAAGAGCGTAAACAAATTAGATCTAGGTTAACTAAAAGCCTAAGGAACGATCGTGAGCAGTGGTGGGCAACGAAAGCAAAAGAGATGGAAAAGGCAGCGGCTGTAGGCAACACCAGGCAACTATTCAGACTAATAAAAGAAACCGGAATTAAGAAGTCAAGTGTAAGTGAGACAATCTCGGAAAAAGACGGAACCCTTATCTGCTCTCAACCTAAACGTTTAGAACGATGGGCGGAACACTTTAAGGAGCAGTTTAGCTGGCCTTCAGCTACTGCACAACTACCCACTATTCCCAGAAAACCTGAATGGAACATTGAAGTAGGCCCCCCGACCCTACTTGAAGTTCAAAAGGCTATAGGTAATCTGAAACGGGGAAGAGCAGCTGGTCCTGATGGATTGGTTCCAGAGGTTTTTAAATACGGTGGTCCAATTTTAGCGATTAGGTTGACTAATATTCTGGCTAAAATCTGGGAGACGGATGTAATCCCATCCGACTGGTCACAATCACTGATTGTCCCAATATATAAAAAGGGGTCAAAATCATCCTGCGATAACCATAGAGGGATTAGTCTGACTAACATAGCATCTAAAATACTAGCCTCAATAATTATCGGGCGCCTAACTAAGACTCGTGAACTGCAAACACGAGAAAATCAGGCTGGCTTCAGACCTGGTCGTGGCTGTATCGACCACATATTCACCATTCGTCAAGTTTTAGAGCACAGACACGCTTATCGGCGTCCGACAATGATAGTTTTTCTTGACTTGAAAGCAGCATTTGACTCTGTAGACCGAGAGGTTCTGTGGCGATGTCTGTCATTGAAAGGTGTACCTGAGAAGTACATAAACCTTTTGAAGGCTCTTTACTCGAACACTATTAGTCGAGTGAGAGCTTATGGCGAACTGTCATATGATTTTACAACCTCAAGTGGTGTCCGTCAAGGCTGTCCACTATCCCCATTTTTGTTTAACTTCATTATAGACCTGTTGCTGGAAATAACACTCTCATCGACTGAATTTTCAGGAATTGATCTCCTACCAGGGGGACCACTAAGCGACTTAGAATACGCAGATGACATAGTCCTGTTTGGTGAAGACGCTGGCAAAATGCAGAGTCTTCTGTTGGAACTCAGTAATAATGCCAGGATGTTTGGGATGCGTTTCTCCCCATCCAAATGTAAATTGTTACTCCAGGACTGGCCTGCGTCAACACTCGAACTAAGGATAGGAAGTGAAGTAGTCGAACGCGTCGACAACTTCACTTATCTTGGAAGTCTGATCAGCCCTAATGGGTTGGTGTCAGACGAAATCTCAGCACGGATTCGAAAAGCTCGTTTGGCCTTTGCCAACTTACGTCACCTATGGCGTAGACGAGATATCCGTCTATCAATTAAGGGACGAGTATACTGCGCAGCAGTTCGCTCTGTCCTACTTTACGGCTATGAAACATGGCCATTAAGAGTAGAAGATACTCGTAGGTTACTAGTATTTGACCACAGATGCCTTAGAAATATTGCTCGCATCTGCTGGGATAACCGGGTAAGTAATAGTGAGGTTAGACGCAGGGTATTAGGGAACGATGGTAAATCAGTTGATGAGGTGATGAATCTTCATCGACTGAGATGGTTGGGCCATGTGTTACGTATGCCTGAACACCGATTACCACGACGCGCTATGATGACTAGTACTGGGGACGGTTGGAAGAGAGTTAGGGGCGGCCAAACCAAAACATGGCATCAGTGTTTGAAGTCACTAACTTCTAGCCTGAGCCATGTTGGCAGATGCAGACTACCTGGTTGGGGTCCGCGTGACTATCGTAACCAATGGTTGGAGACTCTAGGTGACATGGCTCAGAATCGGTCTCAATGGCGTAGGTGTATACACTCTTTATCTTCCCTTAAACCTTGAGACTAAAATTGCTTCATATCTCTCTTCCTTCCTGTACTATATCCTTATATACAACCTATAATTTATATACTACTACCAACACTAGATTAACTACTATGAATCCGGTGTTCCTCTTGTTGTGCTAACGAGGTATGGCAACTTGGACCGATGCATATATGTGCCTGGTCCTACGTTGTAGCTGACCTGACCTGACATGTCACCTAGAGTCTCCAACCATTGGTTACGATAGTCACGCGGACCCCAACCAGGTAGTCTGCATCTGGTTGGGGCAACTATCTAGCCCCACTTCATTGATACCGATTTTAAGTGATTCACCAATAGGCTGAAATGCATTTATAGTCTTTTAGTATAAAATATTTTTTCATTCATTTGACTTGTTTAGGTAAAAATTGAACTTTATGGACAATATACAAATAAAAAACTTGCCAGTATTTTCATTAGTTGACTTCTCATTTTCATTTATACTTTGTATATTGTCATGTTCTTCTGCCCTTTCATTTTGCAAAGTTGAGTTGGATAATAAATTTAATTTATCGTTACTTTCGGACCTAGAAAAAAGGTGACAAATTCTTATAGCGATAAATTTAGGTGGGAAACTAAGGAAATGGATAATTCACAAATTTAATAATGAAAATTTTTTAATTCATCTATAAACATTAGGATGTTTCATCAGCTTACAGAAAAGACAACCCAACGAATTTCAGCGTGTTCAAAGACTATTTCCCAAATCAGTAAACTACCTAGTGGTGAGTAAAAGTAAAAGAAAGACTCTTTTTATTTGAAATTGCCCAGTAGAGCACTATTATTAACAATCCTAAAATGTAGCGGTACAGCCAAAAGTTGGGAGGCTTGACTTTACCTCTCGACATTCTCTCATACGACTAATCATATATAGCCTCTTTCAAGGGAACCTTCAAGATCTTTCTAAACTCGTTATTTAAGACTACCAGTACCAGTACTACTATTGATATCTGAACTACTTCCTCACAATATTAAATTTACTAAGAATTCTGTGACCTTATCTGTTGAAATCAATTAGAAGTGACGCACTTCTCAGGAAAAGAACATGATTGTTCGCTCAAGATATTGAGCTTGGAAAATCAAAAATAAATTTGTCAAAAAAGCACACAGTTCCAAGTTACTGGATTTGGGGACAACAAAGCAAGGCGAAGGAACAGTACATAGTAATGAAGACAGTAAAAAAGAACTACAAACACTATAAAACAAAGAATGTTAAATGAAAGATAATAAAACATGTTTAATATTCAAAGCCTCAGTGAGATCGGCCTCATATCATATCGTTTAGTCTCTAATAATTGCTTTTCTATTTGATGATAAACATACAAGAGAAAGCGAGTTCTATAAACAGCTTGAACTGAGTTGGGAAACCCTGATTGAAAACCAATGGTGTACACGGGCTCTAAGATCCTGAGGGAACAAATGGCGTGAGAAACTATTGTTGGTCACTGGCTACCATGGGACTGCATCTCTTTACGTTGCTCCACTGCCTTGTGGATCAGACCTTTAGGTTGAAGGCTTGGGGTGTGGCCCCCTGAAAAACCACCTGCTTCGGTTTGGAGACCCGAGTAGCATCACAGCCCACACACAAACCAAGTAACTTATGTGGCGCATATTTATTCGGTGCCCCTTTGTAATAATATTTATGTGTTTAAATAAATAAATAAATAAATAATATATCACAACTTTTGTGATAATAAAATAATATATTTGTGGTATACCGGATGGGCATGAGAACTAAATCCCTGACAATTAAGAACTTAGCGTAAGTTGCTTCTTCAGATAATAAATAACTCCTCTTGTTCGATATTGAACAGAGAACGGGTAGAAATGTTGCCTTGTATGAGCATCATGTTTGACGTAACGCGGCTAGTATATTGAAACAAATTATGCTTAAAATGAACTCGTGTAAAATAATTGCAAAACAAACACTTTTTCCTCTTTGATAAACTTCTAGGACATCCTCATATGATAATTATAAAGTTCACAAGTCTTCTTTTTACAGCAGCGTAGTACAATAGGACTAACTCCGCCTGTAGCTCCTCTAGGGGCTACTGCCGGTCCCAAGCCCGGGTAAAGGAGGAGGGTTGGGCATGGGGTTAGCGACCCCATCCCGTAGAAAATCAACTCGCTAAAAAAACGCTAACCAGAAAAATTCATTCAAACCATTCAAACTCTGCCCTGGGGGTAGAAGGAAAAATGACGTCTCATGATGAAAGCCGAGTTCCTTCGGAAGTCATGAGGCCGATGCACCTTCTTACAACCAGAGCGACAATTTTTATAGGTACATGGAATGTCCGGACAATGTGGGAGACCGGCAGAGTCTTCCAAATTTCTGCGGAAATGAGGAAATACAACCTGGAAGTGCTTGGAATCAGTGAAACACATTGGACGCAAGTTGGACAACAACGACTGTCTTCAGGGGAACTTCTGTTATACTCCGGTCATGAAGAAGAAAATGCCCCACATACACAAGGAGTGGCACTGATGCTGTCTAGAAAAGCACAAAATGCACTTATAGGATGGGAATCTCATGGACCAAGGATCATCAAAGCCTCCTTCAGAACAAAGAGAGAGGGCATTACAATGAACATCATCCAATGCTATGCGCCGACCAACGACTACGATGAAGACGCTAAAAACCAATTCTACGATAGGCTGCAGTCAATCTTCGAGAAGTGCCCAACCAAGGACCTGACCATTCTAATGGGAGATTTCAATGCCAAGGTTGGAAAGGACAACACTGGATACGAAAACGTCATGGGACAACATGGACTGGGAGAAAGGAACGAAAACGGTGAGAGATTTGCAAACCTATGTGCCTTCAATAAACTGGTCATAGGTGGCACCATATTCCCACACAAAAACATACACAAAGCCACTTGGATTTCACCGGATCACACTACACAGAATCAAATCGACCATGTCTGCATCAACAAAAAGTTCAGGAGGACGATGGAGGATGTGAGAACCAGAAGAGGAGCTGATATAGCATCCGATCACCATTTGCTGGTCGCCAAGATCAAACTAAAACTCAAGAAGCACTGGACAATGGCGCGGACAACATCACAAAAGTTTAACACGGCCTTTCTTCGAGATGCTGACAAACTCAACGAATTTAACATAGCCCTCAGCAACAGGTTCCAGGCCTTTCATAACCTACTCAATGAAGAGGGAACCACCATAGAGAGCAGCTGGAAAGGTATCAAGGAGGCAATCGTTTCAACATGTCAGGAGGTTCTGGGCCAAAAGAAGCACCATCACAAGGAATGGATCACTGTTGGTACACTGGATAAAATTGAAGCAAGGAGGAACAAGAAGGTAGCAATCAATATCAGCCGAACAAGAGCAGAAAAAGCCAAGGCACAAGCCGAATACACAGAGGCAAACAAGCAAGTGAAGAGGAGCATCAGGACTGACCGACGTAAATATGTGGAAGATTTAGCGATGACAGCGGAAAAGGCTGCAAGAGAGGGAAACATGAGACAACTGTATGATACAACCAAGAAACTTGCTGGAAATTACCGTAAACCAGAAAGACCAGTGAAAAGCAAGGAAGGCAAAGTAATCACCGACATTGAAGAACAACGAAACAGGTGGGTAGAACACTTCAAAGAACTCTTGAATCGACCAGCTCCACTGAACCCACCCAACATCGAAGCAGCACCCACAGACCTCCCAATCGATGTTGGCCCACCAACAATTGAAGAGATCACATGGCCATTAGACAAATCAAGAGCGGCAAAGCAGCGGGACCAGACAACATCCCGGCAGAGGCACTGAAAGCAAATGTAACAGCAACTGCCAAGATACTCCACATCCTCTTCGGTAAGATTTGGGACGAAGAACATGTACCAACAGACTGGAAAGAAGGACTTCTCATCAAGATACCAAAGAAAGGCGATCTGAGCAAGTGCGACAACTACAGAGGCATCACTCTCCTCTCAATACCAGGAAAAGTCTTCAACAGAGTATTGTTAAACAGGATGAAGGATTCCGTGGACGCTCAACTTCGAGATCAACAAGCTGGATTTCGTAAGGATAGATCGTGCACAGATCAAATCGCAACTCTACGTATCATTGTGGAACAATCAATCGAATGGAATTCATCACTGTACATCAACTTCATCGACTACGAGAAGGCATTTGATAGCGTGGACAGGACGACACTGTGGAAGCTTCTTCGACACTACGGTGTGCCTGAGAAGATAGTAAATATCATACGGAACTCCTATGATGGACTAAACTGCCAAATCGTCCACGGAGGACAACTCACCGACTCGTTCGAGGTAAAGACCGGTGTTAGGCAAGGTTGCCTACTCTCACCCTTTCTCTTTCTCCTGGTGATCGACTGGATTATGAAGACGTCAACATCTGGAGGAATGAACGGGATACAGTGGACAGGCAGGATGCAGCTTGACGATTTAGACTTCGCGGATGATCTGGCTCTTCTATCACAAACGCAACAACAAATGCAGGAGAAAACGACCAGTGTAGCAGCAGCCTCAGCAGCAGTAGGTCTCAATATAAACAAAGGGAAAAGCAAGACTCTCCGATATAATACAATATGCACCAATCCAATTACACTTGACGGAGAAGCTTTGGAGGATGTGGAAATCTTTACATATCTGGGCAGCATCATTGATGAACACGGTGGATCAGATGCAGATGTGAGGGCGAGGATCGGCAAAGCAAGAGCAGCATACCTACAACTGAAAAACATCTGGAGCTCAAAACAATTGTCAACCAACACCAAGGTTAGAATTTTCAATACAAATGTCAAGACAGTTCTTCTGTATGGGGCAGAGACGTGGAGAACTACGAAAGCCATTATCCAGAAGATACAAGTGTTTATTAACAGCTGTCTACGCAAGATACTTCGGATCCGATGGCCAGACACTATCAGCAACAAGTTACTGTGGGAGACAACAAACCAGATTCCAGCGGAGGAAGAAATCAGGAAGAAGCGCTGGAAGTGGATTGGGCACACTTTGAGGAAATCACCCAATTGTGTCACAAGACAAGCCCTCACATGGAATTCTGAAGGTCGAAGGAGAAGAGGAAGACCAAAGAACACATTACGCCGAGAAATAGAGACAGACATGAGAAGAATGAACAAGAACTGGAAAGAACTAGAAAAGAAGGCCCAGGACAGAGTGGGTTGGAGAAAGCTGGTCGGCGGCCTATGCTCCATTGGGAGTAACAGGCGAAAGTAAGTAAGTAAGTAAGTACAATAGGACTACGTTATGTGTATATTTTGACTTAACAAATAATGATGTAGAGAAGTAAGTTCTTGAGAAGTCAAAGGTAGATAGTTACTCACATGATACCACACAACACAAAGACTTTGAACGTTAGTAAAAAGCCCGTTTCGCATTACTAGTTATCTAAGTTTTAATTTTCTCTAGTTTTCAAAAGGATATTTTATTTATCTTGATAAATCTATTATGTGAGAGTTGATGAATAGACTGCTATGTAAGAATTACCGTACTACCCAGTTACTATTTTAAGAAAATGGAATACTTTATAATCTACGGCCTAATGTTTGAAACTAAAAATGCTTGGACTAATAATAAGTTAATAGTTTTACTAACAATTACCCTTGATAAAAATGAAATGTAGTTAAATATAACAAAAATACCATGCGTTCAAGTCGCTCAATAATGATTATACAGTAATGTTGGTAAAATAAAGAAATGAAAGCATCCCCAGTCTATATGTTATCACTATTTCTTTGAATATGTTCACAGTTCGCATAATTACACCATAAGTTATTAAAAATGCGACTAAATCCTTTATTAGATGGCATTTGACATGGATCAAAATCGTTTACAGTGGCGAAGGTGTATCCACTCTTTGTGTCTTACCAAATTCTAATCTTCTGAATTCTTCATGTCCCTATCTTTTTTCTCTTTCCAAATTTATTTAATTGGATTATACTCCTTCAATAACATCTTTAAACCCTAATTTTTCACATAATGCTTATACTTTTACTACTTCTACCACTATGAGATTTGAATCGACAACTGCATCTCTGTGCTAATATGGTATGGCAACTTGAACTGATGTACGTACGTACGAAGTTCTACGTTGTGACTGACTGACTGATTTGACTTTTAATCCTTATATTCCAATCTCAAACCTTATTCCATCTAAAAGATGTATCTCAAAAGGTGATTGCCAACATTTATACTTAGTTGCTGAGTTCCACACCAATTTTTAACATCAAAGAAACCTATGTTTATTTTAGATCGATTAAACAGCTATATATGATATTTATAAGGTCAACGAAAAAACAAAGAGCAAATAAACTATCATATAGGTACTTAAGCTTAAATTTCATGCATTTTTTCCGCCTACAACTGTTTTGGATGAAGATTAAAGATGAATTTTATTTACTGATGCATAATGACAGAAAAAATGATTTAAACTTGAATAAATACTGTCAACAGAATGTTAGTATTAGAAGTAAAAATAACATGTTAAAATTGTAACACGATATACCATGCTTATAATCCTTTCTTTGTAACAATCCCAATGGTGAAGCATTTATCTTAGTAGTTACACCACGTACTCTTGATGATTAAATCTAATAATATGGCTTAAAAAATAGTTCTCTAAATCTAGAACACAATAATCATTTTTCGATTCATCTATTTTGTCTTTATGGGTTGTTTAGTATCCTGTTACTAAGAGAATAATTAAATCTACTGTCCTATTTTTTGTCTTGTCAATCTATCATTGTTATGCCTATGTGAATTGAACTATATGACTTGAACCAATAAATATTTGTGTCAGATACTGTACAAAATAAAATAAGGAAAGAGAATTCTAAATATTCATTTATATGGTCTATTGGAATAGAGTATCCAACCAACAATGTTGGGGATGTCAAATCCCCAGAACTTACTTGGTAAATGGCTTAGTTTTGTAATTTTATTTTGAAAATTTGAATTTAACTGTTTTCGCGCCAAACGCGCTCTTTTTACCTTCACGTCATTTTTCCCACTTGTAAACTACCTTAAACGCTATTGGTCCATTGTTTCTTTGTGTGTGCTATTTACTAATGATGCTCAAGGACAATTTGTTGTTGTATAAATGCGCTTGACTTTTTCCCTTATTCGATTGCTTGTGCTCGGCTGCTTACGGAATACATATATATTCCCCTACTTGCCTTGGACTTCTTCATCTAGTTAGTGGGGCCTGGGACAACAGATTAGAATAGCTTATCGTGTCATTGTGTCATTGGCTTTCGTTCGTTACCGTGGAATCGATTTAGTTCAAGCATAACAAACAATCATATAATTAAAGGTTCACATCTATTCCATCTACTTCAGGTTAGGCATATTGATTTCATACAAGTGATTTATACTGTGGCTTTGTACTTTGGATTTTACATCCTATATGACCTATCGTTTTATTTAAATATAATAAGTACGTGGTATGAAAGTGATAATAATTAAAGCATATAAAGAAACACTAACTTTAAAATATGTATAACATCGTTTTCAACAAGCGTTTTCATCGCAACAATTGAATCTAATGGAATGCATAATCCCAAATTTAGTAGTTCTTGAGGAATATGACAACAAGAAAGCTCAGCATTATTATCATGGCATGTGGATGATTTATCTTCAGAGTCATGATATGATTCAATCGTTTTGTTATAAGTAGCATCAATGTTATAATCACTTGAAGATAATTCAGAATGAGAAGCTATATAAGCCTGTTTTTGTGCTACTGCAGTTTGACTTGCGTCGAAACATAAAGATTCAGGTGTAACCAACAAAACACCATCTATCAAATTCTAGAGAGAGAGAGAGAAATAAAAAAACCACAGATACAATCCAAAAACTTCGATATTGGACAGTTTAAATAAGAGAACGATTTTTGTTTAGCCGATATTCTGCTATTATACATTAATTATTAATATAAAATCAGGAACCAAATGTTAAATTCCGGATGTTTATTTCTGAAGTTTGATAGCCAAAAGTCAAATATGCCCACTAAAGTGGATGACGGGACAATAGTCATAAAATCGATTTAGATAAATAATCTACTCCTGAAAAGTTCCGCCATGAATCAAGCAACTTAATCTTAAAACCATGAGCTATGACATTGAACTACAAGACTTTGAATTTTAAAAGGATAATGAAGTCCCATAAGACTGCAAGCTTTCATAATTAATGAAAATAGATATTAAATGCTAGTTATTTAATGACCACTAATCGGGTCCAATTATCTGGAGTTGTAAATTACCACTACGTATAAAAAAGCGTCGCAAACCTGATGGGTTGTAAAAAGATGAGATCGACATTGAATCACAATAAAGTTCCAGTTAATATTCCAGATGTTATGGCATTCACTTAACACTCCGTCGTATCCCATTTCTTTATAACTTACAACTAGCATTTCTTATTATGAACAACAGATATGATTCCTAGATTACCATTGATGAGAATTCCTAGGACTACAGATTCTTAAGAGCATATTGACAGTAATGAGGTGTCCAGCCATATAACAGAAAGATAAAAATCTAGATACTGATAAAACTCACATCAAGACTTTTTAGAACACGAAAGGCATTCACTTTAACAAATTGGCGTTCCAGGGCATCATCATCAATGGGATAAGATTTATTAGGATTCAAAACACGTGTTGTATAAAAGAAGGGCTGAACAGCTAGAAATCCTGTACTTGTAGTATCAGCATTTTGCTTATCCATATCCTCTATGCGCAACGCAACACCAGGAAGATGCTTTATTTTAGTTGACTGGAATCACAAAATAAAGGATGGAGTGTATAAAAATAATCTCCTTATGCTGAATCCTGAGTGAAATCTGTTTTAAAATATTACATAACTGTAATGTTCGTATAGTTATGAAACCATCATTTTTAGTTCAAATGAAAGATATGTAAATATTCTTTATTAAATGAGGAACCTATATTAAAACTTAAAATATTCACATAAATATGAATGTATCCTTAACTGCATCTTAACTAGTTATTGAAAAAAAATTAATGGCAAGTATTTATTTGTGGTCGAGTAAATCATGTCGTTAAATATAATGTAACGAATCAAAAAGTCATAAGCCTCATTAGTATTTGAAAATTGCAGAGCAGACAAAACAATCAAGACAATAGTTTGCAATCCTATTAAATAGACCTGCATAAAAATGATATAGAAAAGGTTTGACTATTGATGCTGGTGAAAAAGCTACACCAAAAACAGGGTTTGACTTGTGGTGCTTATTAAGAGAAAGTCTCTATTCAGTTAAATGATCAGAATTTATTGATGAGATGTATGTATTATTATGCGTATGTGCTGAATATTCATTTAGAAAGATTATTTCAGATAAGAAAGCTAATTGAAAGAGATTTAAGAGAGATTAAAATACAAAAGCAACGATCTGAGGCTATGATCAACTTCATTGGCTAGGTGATTTAATAAGGTGTAGGATATGATGAGCATGTGAGTTGGCTTAAGTCGTTAGAACTGAAGGTTCTGGATTCGAGTCTAGCATGCGGGGTCGTGGATGCACACCGCTGAGGAGTCCCATACTAGGACGACACGACCTTCCAGTGCTTCCAGGTTTTCCATGGTGGTCAAATCATGAATTCAACTATTAAATTACTACAATCTCCACAAACCCCCATTCTGTTAAATTGTTACACTCCATATCAATATGTAAAGAGAAATTTTAAAAGATAAATAAAAGGAAGTATTGAATCAACTGTAAAAAAATATATTCATTCTCAATTGGTTGGACTTCCATGCTTTTGTGAATTTATACACATTAGTGCAAATATGTTAAAATTTCAGATGTCCCAATAAATTCATTTAACTCCACCCGTGGCTCTTCTAGAGTTACTGTCAGTCCCAAGCACAAGTGAAGGGGGAAGGATGGGTATGAAGTCAGAAAACCCATCCCGTAGAAGAAAAAACCTTGCTAAAAAAATGCTAATTAGAACAAAACATTTAAACTCTGTTCTCCGAGTTAAACGATTTTCATTAAGAACAATTATCACGCCTCATGGTGAAAGCCGAGATTCTCCGAAAGTCAACAGGCTGATTACCCTCCTAATAGCCAAATCAACAATTAACACAAATACATGGAATAGTCGAACAATGTAGGAGACCGGGAGGACTGATCAGATAGTTGTGGAAATCAGGGAACAGCTTGACGGCGCTCGGAATAAGTGAAACCCATTGGATCCAAGCTGGACAGAAAAGGATAGATTAAGGAGAGATGCTGATGTATTCTGACCACGAAGAAGAAAATGCTTTTCAAAGAAGCGTGTAATGGACTCAGAATCATCAAGTCATTTTTCGAAACAAAAAAGGAGGGAATTACAATAAATGTTATCCAGTGTTATGCACACACCAATAATAGCAACGACCACGATAAACATCAGTTTTATGAGAGGCTGTAATCGATCATAGCGAAGTGATCAGGAAACGACCTGACCATTCTGATAGGAGACCTAAACGCAAAAGTCGGAATGGAAAACACCAGGTATCAAGATATCATCGGATGACATGGAGTGACTAGGAGAAAGGAACGAGAGTAGTGACATTTGAAAATTTATGTGCATTTAAAAAAATTGTTATAGGTGGCATAATATTCCCACATAAATGCATAAACAAAGCTACATGGGTCTCATCTGATCACACTACACAGAATCGGATCGGTCATATTTGCATCACTAAAAAAAATTAGAAGGTCAATGGAAGATGTGAGAACCAGGAGAGGAGCTGACATAACTTCAGATCACCGCCTGATGGTTGCTAAGACGAAACTGAGGCTGAAAAAGCACTGGGCAACTGAGGAAACAACACTGCAAAGGTCCTGTGAGATACTAACAAATTCAACGAATTCAAGACAACTCTCGACAACAGGTTCCAAGCCTTACAATATCTACTCACAGAAGAAACTATTGTGGGGGACAACTGGAAAGGGATGAAAGAAGCACTGATTTCAATGCGTCAGGAGGTGCTTGGTCACAACAAACATCAGTGTAAGGAATTCATCTTTATCAAAACCTTAGACAAAATTCAAGAAGGAAATAATAATAAAGTGACGGCAATTAACAACAGTAGGAAAAGAATGGAGAAATTCAAGGCACAGGCTGAATACACAGAAGTAAACAAGCACGTGAAGAAGAACATTAGAGCTAATAGGCAGAAATATGTGGATGACCTAGCAACAACAGTATGAAAAGCTGCAAGAGAAGGAAATATAGGACAACTATATGACACAACAAAGAAACTGACAGGTAATAATAGAAAACCAGAGAGACCGGTCAAGGACAAAGGAGGTAGGACAATCACTGTAATTCAAGGACAGAGGAACAGATGTCAGGAACACTTTGAGGAACTCTTGAAAAGACCAGTTCCATTGAGTCCACAGGATATCAAAGCAGCACCGACAGACCTTCCTATTGATTTCACTCCACCAACAATCGAAGAAATCAGGATGGCAATCAGATAAATCAAGGGTGAGGAAGCAGTAGGACCTGACAACACACTAGTCAAAGCACTGAAGTCATACATAGAAGCAACTGCGAACATGCTTCATATTGTACTCAGGAAAATTTGGGAGGAAGAATAAATACCGGTGACAGACTGAAAAGAAGAATATCTCATCAGGATACCAAAAAAAGTAGATTCGAGCGAATGTGAGAACTATAGAGGCATCACACTACCGTCAGTACCAGGAAAAGTTTTCAACAGAGTGTTGCTGAATCGGATGAAAGATTCAGTAGACGTCCAGCTTCGAGATCAACAGGACGGATTCGATAAGGACTGGTCGTGCACAGACCGAACTTCTACACTACAGATAATCGTTGAACAATCAATTGAATTGAATTCGACACCACACACCAACTTCATTGACTATGAGAAAGTATTGATAGTGTGGATGGGAGAACCTCATGGAACCTTCTTCAACACTACGGTGTAGGTGAGAAAGTCGTCAACACCATCCGGAATTCATAAGACGGACTACAGCTAAAAGTCGTGTATGGAGGATAGCTGACAGACTGAATTATCACAAGGCCGATCGCTCTTGTTTTTTTTGTCTTTTCTAGTGGTTGTCTGGATTATGAAGACCTCTACATCTGAAGAAAAGCACGGAATACAATGGACAGCTTAGATATAACAAAACGATTCGGACTTCAAAGATGACCTGGCCCTTCCATCCCATACACGCAAATAAATACAGATGAAAAAGAACAGTGTATCGGTAGCGTCTGCATCAGTAGGCCTCAACATACACAAGGGGAAAACCGGGATCCTCAAATACAACACGGGAGTGGTGGAATCTTTCACGTACCTGGACAGCATTTATTTATTTATTTAAACACATAAATATCGGTACAAGGAAGCACCAGATATATATGCACCTAACAAATCTCACTCGATTTGTGTGAGGGCTGAGATACTGACCAGGTGCCCAGGCTGAAGCAGGTGGTTTCCTTAGGGGGCCACACCCCGAGCCTTTGGTCTGAAGGTCTAGTCCACAAGGCAGTGGAGCATCGTGAGGAGATGCAGTCCCATGGTAGCCGGTGATCAACGGTTGGTTCATACGCCATTCGTTCCTTCAGGATACTGCAGCCCATGTGCACCATTGGTTTGGAATCAGGGTTTTCCAACTCCCCTAGGTGAACTTCCCGTGTCCACCAACCCGGTTAAAGCGCCGGACATTCGCTTTTCGTCCTCTCAATTTCGTAAACAACACCCCCGCCACAAGAAGGACTTCCCTGGCAGAGGCTATATATTCGCATGGCCATGTGAGAGCATTTCGAGAGGGAGAGCGGACTCTCCTCACTCTCAGCTGTACCAGGGCATTTGAGGGCACAGTTGAACAACGTACAAAGCTTAACTGTCTGTCATCCAACATCGAAGTTACAATCTTCAATACGAACGTCAACACACTTCTACTGTATGGAGCTGAAACTTGGAGAACTACCACAACCATAAGAAGAAATAAGGAAAATACGTTGAAATTTGATAGAACATACGTTACATAAATCATCAGACTGCATCACGAGGCAAGCTCTAACTTGAAAAATTGAATGGAAACTGAAAACAGAAAGACCAAATAACACACTACGTCAAGAACTGGAAGCAGACATCGAAAGGATGAATAGCGACTGGACACAACTGGAGAGGATTGCCCAGGACAGAATTTGATGGAGAATGCTGGTGACCGCTCTATGCTCCTCGACGAGGAGTAACAGGCGTAAGTAATAAATTCCGTTATAAACTACAAGTGATGATAAACACTTCATTTATTCTGTGCTCAATGTAGTAGCAATGGAATTTTATGTGAAACTTTTTAACTACAAAGATTGAGCTCAAGATACGATTGCGATAAACTTTAATGTGAGATTTTTCCAAGCAAATCGAAGAATTCTACATGCAAATGAGTCCCACTGAACTAACTTACAATCCTTTTGATTTATATATAGATGCCCAGTTGATCATAAACTTTTTTATTTATTCAACTACAAATAATATTAATGGAATCCATCAAAAGAGACACGGCTCATTGATTTATAAGGTTTAGTTGAAATATTTTCTAACAAAGCTAAATCTAGAGTGCTCATTAGAGTATAGATGTCCATATATAGCATTGAGACTATTAATTTTCCTTATTCTCCAACTAGTCCTATATTTTAATGGCCATTATAAGCAAAGTCAATCATCACACTCCAAAAATAGATTATAATAAACTTACACTGCAATTTGCACGTGCAGCTGTTGGAATAATTAAACGTTGACCAGGAAAAACAGGAGGGAGGCCGTAACTCATGAGGGGCAAATGATTTGCTCTAGCAATCTGAGTTGGGGTTACAAAATTCAACTGGGCGGCGATAGCCGACAGTGAATCTCCAGGTTTTACCTGAATGGCATATTTAATATGCTGCACTAATTACCTCGTAAACGCAGAACTCTCCTGAGGCTTCCATAATGATGAGACAATAAAGCTAAGTAGGTTGAGCACCTTGTTTAACCACAACTACGAGCATTTGACACTCCTCACATAACTGAACAACAGGAGATAAAAATGTTATTTCCCTAAGCTCAACGAAGAAAACATAGAACCCTTGACGATTGATTTGACGACGATAAGCTAATAAGGCTGGTAAATTTTGTAGTAAAATGAAAAGAGACAATTAAAAACTATACGCATATATATATATATATAAATACAACCTCGATTTTAAGAATCACATTTCAAAAACTGAATTGATCAATTATTAAGAAGTGGTTAAACTTTAGTTTAGATGCTGGAGTCACAAACACTTTAACACCTTATTTGGAAAGTGAAAGCACCATCCAGATGCCTAAAATAAGTGATTCCTGGTCGATCGACTAGTTTTAAAAAAAGAAGCGGTATTGAAATGTAATAAGCTTAACAATAATAATCATTCTTACTGGTTTTGAAGTTAAAGTTTCATTCTATCTAAAACATGGAAAAGTGATAAATTGAACATTTACCATGGATAATAAGATGTTACGAAAAATCAAGCAGTGTAAGGAACAACTGCGCTGATTAGAAAAAGTAAACCAACCCAGATGTGACACGTCCATGAAAAGTTCTATTAAATTCTATTAAATTCCCTAGTACGACAAAAAATTTTGTTGGTATCCCATTTTAGGTAGGACTGGGTCATAGGACTTTGAAGCATTGTAAGAGAAACGTCTCGTTGATTTTTCTATGATAGGTGACACTAGAATATTAGTTGTGCTCAACAACACTTGAGGACTGGAAAACAAATGACTTAATTCAGCTTTTTTTCTAAAGAGTGTAGTACATATTTAATCCACGACAGTTCAGCCGTCTACCAGTTGGAGAGGGACTTACCGAGAATAAAGCGACTGTCGGAAAACGAACAACCAGGAACATGGACACAAACTTAGCTATCTAAGAGCAATTTTAAATGTGTATCCGGAAGATTTTCTACGACTAAGGGAGTGTTGATCAAACTACATCAGCAACAAAACTATGCGCGGTTCTAATAGAATTAAAAATAACACTGTGCAGTAGCATCATACACAGTTTTACGTGGAAAACCTAGCGAAACTGAATTATGAGATTTCATATAGACGTATATATATGTGTGTCAATACAATTGGCACGTGTTAGTCTAAAAAGATGATTTACGTTTTGAAAAATTATCACTTGGTCAGTAATTTTTTGGCATGGATAAAAACCCGAGACATTTACCAAGATCACAAGACTACAAAGTATCACAATACAACGCAACAAACCCTACATCCCACTTTAGTATCACCTTCAATTTCAATATCCAATACCCCTAGAACGAGCCTGTATTCAAATAGTTCATATTCTTCTGCACCTAACAGAAGCAGCTTTTGCATAACAGGTTTTAGTATCTTACAGCAGTGGATCACTGATGCTTTCACGTGGGAACTTTGGTATATATAACTACAAAAAGAGAAATATTATTAAATTATTGTGAGATACTGTCCTGAATCCCTAAGAATATATCCAGTTTTCCCGTAGAAGACTATTTGGCAGCAAATTCAAGAATCTTACTACTCATAAGGGTAGAAGGTGTGCCTGCAGTAGAATTCGCATTGTTGTGTTTCTAGTGTGTGGGTTTACCTGTAAGGTATGTGCTAGCACTGAGCCTAAGCAGGTATTAAGGGATGCTAAAGATTGTTTAAGATGATGAAAGTAATTATAAGACCCTCTTTGGAATTCATATACTTTAATTAGTGAAGAATCAATGATTTTTACAGCTTTTCACAAGGTTTGAATTCGAGTCCATGAGATGATCTCCTGTGTAAATAAATCCCCGAAACAAACAGTTTTGTAAGTCTTCGACGTGAATGCTGTACGAAACAACGCGCGATTTTAACAGGTACGTCAAATAAGCATGTTAACTTGTCATGTTTCAGATCCTTATGACGCTTTGAAGAAGAATATCCTCAAATATCGAGACCTAACCGACCGAAAAAGTTTGTACAACTTTTACACGACATAGAATCGCAACTCAGCTAAGGGACAGAAATGTTGCTACGAATGCGAGAGATCACTGATCAACCGACCTTTGAAGATAGCCTGTTTGGACAGCTCTTCCTGTGTAAGCTTCTTCAATAAATGTGAGCGGTTCTTACCCCATTTAAAAATGAAGTCGTAGACGAACGGGCTTCATCTACAGACCGGACATTTGGGATCAACAGAAACCCCGAGGTTCATTCTGTCAAAAGTAAGCCTCAGTTGGCACAAAACGACGTTTCAGATCTCTGTCGTACTTTCACTCGTCATCTTAACATTCATCTTAATTGTGGAAGCTTTCAAACTTCTCGAAGAAGCTGGTCATGAGAATTATCTTTCTTAAGATCACGAGAGGCAGATGTTGGAGAACCGATCTTCAACAGAGTTATTACCTCCACTATGAGTGTGTCTAGCGAAATTGACTATGGGAAGTTTGAAGTATCCTTGAGTCAGCATATGAGTGTATCCGAGATTAACAGATAGGAATAATCTCCCCAAAAGACGATTGGTGTCAGCCGTAGACATACTGTAAATGACTCCATCCAGTAATTCTGGGTTGTTAAATTATCTCACTAAGTATCACCATTGAGATTGGCTACTCCGCCTCTCACTCCTATTTTTTCTGTCATTATGGAACAAAGATATGACGAGTATTGCTAGCTCCTGCTTCGTAATTTGAGATGCCGATGTTTTAAATGTTCCTATCACATGAATGTTAATAGTGTTATTTAGTTGACGCAACTCGTTCATTTTATCCAATAAGCCCTCAGCGTCCATATGAAGGCAGTTTGTGTTTCATATTCGAAAGGTGAGAGCTTCTTCGTCCTGTTTATCTAATTAAGGCTTATGTGGATGGATGAGCTGTTATGACTTTTAAAAGAAGGCCTTATTCAAACTCGCTATTATCTTATGTCCGGCTTTTATAAGGTGATTTATCCACCATTTGAAATATGACTTGTCCAATATTAACAGTGCCAAATCAATGACGTTGAACTGTTATGAGCAGTCTAGCGTCCTTATTTGTCCCTTAACCGCCTAGCCCTGCCTATTGAGTCCAGAACACCATTTGCAGCTTCTGCTATGCGGATAATTTATTTCAAGTATAGTCGGTTTATATTACTTACATTCTTCTTACATTTCTTTCCCCTCTTTTTTTCCTTCTAAATAAATATTATTCTTAAGATTACGAAGTTTTGGATTAAGACAATAACTTGTGTTACGCTGAATTCAACTTATCAAACTCGTTTTATCTTCACTATGCATATACACCTCATACATATTGATTATCTTTTGCACTCAATTGAGACTTTCATAGCATCACCCAAAACTATGGCTGTACACGCACAAACACTTATTCTAACGTCATATCTTACCGCTATAATAGATTGTTTACTTATTAATTTATCCTGTTTTATTTTATTTTTATTACTCGTTTTGCGATACATACATAGTTGTTTATTCTTGTTCTACGTTAAGATATCTACGTATTTCGCGTCTCCTTTATTTATATTTCCTTAGTTTCTTCCTTTCCTCCTTCAAAATCAATTCAAAATTCCTTCCAATTACTTAGAACCTGATTTATTATTACTATTCTATTATTAATATTTTATTTTTCCTTCCTTTCTCAAACATGGCAAATGTAATCCTAACATTATTGAAAATTGTGTATTATTGCACTTTTGAAGAAACCCGAATTGGTTTCTTCACGGCACTTATGTACCCATAAGATATTTGTGAATAATAATAATAATACCAGACAGACAGACCGCATCACACCATAAAATAGAAAATATTGTTTGTACAAGATCAAGTCAAATGTGGCAGTGAACGTGGGATACAATAATCAGTAAACCGAATCTAATTTAGGGACAGTAATTCGTATAATAATTAATTCATAGGCCAGAATGAAGCTTATAATAAGATGAATATATATATATATATAATCTAATTACTCAATAGTTAAACAACAAGAATATATATAGAATGATAGTCCATTAATAGATCCTGGAAGTTACATGTACTTACGTCTTCACTAGGATATAATACGGGCAACCTATACACGCTAGGTTTTCTGAGTCGGTAGTTCCTGTCCCATTTACGTTCATTCCTTGTTCTTGATTGTCCACGTGTGGAATGGTGAGTGGCAATTTAATGTTTGCACAGTCGTTCCGTAATGGATTTCATAAGGATGCATGTGCATCTCTGTGGGTAGCCGGCTTCTGTTGGCACGAGAAGCTTCAATAGTGTGGGCCTCCATTTGAAACGATGAGAAGGTAATCTTCACAAGTGGGGGTCCAGAATTCCCGTCCCTCCTGGATAATCTCACCACATGTTGGGTCGATACGTTCTTAAGATTTATGGACTGTTTTACAAACATCCACTCTAGAATAGCATGGTTTGAATAATCAGGTTCCGTGTTTTCTGTTACATCTTTCAAAATGATATTTTCCGCAAAATAATGTCTCGTGAGATTCTCTAGAGATTTCCCTGATGGGATTAAGCTTAGAATATTGTAAATCAGACAGTGTCTTCAGATCTCCCAATTTCAGCAGGTGACAGGCTGGAAGGACATCAACAGTGTTGGTGAACGTTACACAAAGGGGTACTTTATGATTTTGGTGCTTGCGATCATTCCCCGTTGCAGGCTGTGCAACCAATTTTTGGAAGATTGAGCTACGTATTTAGTTCTTCTCATGGTATTCTCTAGCTTTTGTCTTGCAGACTAAGAGGAATGTCAGAGCTGTATTATACGTTTATAACTAGGGAATAATCGTGAACCGTGATAACTTTCCCAAGTTATAACGTCTCGTATATAAAGTAGCACTGAGAACAGGAAAATACGAGGACATCCAAGTACATACAGAATAAAAAGCTAAGAACAAAACACTTAGCAGCAACACCACTACTGCTTTCCATGAAGAATATGTGTAACTTATTCTTGCTTTCTGTCTATGACCTAACAAAAGTCAACGATTCACTCTAAAAGAGGCTCAGAAATTCTCAAACCTTCCACCTTCATGAGAAGTTTACCGTGGTTCATCTTATTAAATACTTCTCTGAAGTGGGTGAAGACAACACTAACTGGTTTTGCATTATAAACCGACTCTATCGATTCCTCTCTTTCTATAAGGTTTATTGTGCAAGATAGTTTATTCCTGAAACAATATTGTTTTTGTTTTTGTTTTTCCCGAAAAAATAATTAAAATCATATTCACCCCTCAATCAGAAGAAATAAAAAATGGCTTAAAAGTGGTTGTTGTTGACTCAATACCACATACCGGGAACAAAGGTTTCGTACAATCTTGAATAAAGAGAAACAATTTTAGAACAATCAGTTCAAAACAATGTGACATTTAACGCCTACACAAACTAAGGAAGTGAATAAATAACTTAGGCATAATGTTTGAATCTTAACTGAAAGTCATCGGCTAGCTATCATCTGTCTAACTAAGACTGGTACGCTAGACCCACTGTAGAATCGCTTCCCATAAGAATGTCATTTCAATAAATTCATAGAACGGAAAAAATATCGATTCCGTCTGTGCAGTCTTATAGAGGATTACTGATACATTTGACATTTGACGCTCTTAATGTTACAATTAGTGACGACCACTGCCCAGTCAAAATTAAGCGGTAGTCTGCGGCTATTCCATAGCTAACAGGCTTGTTATTTTACTTCGGTGTTACTTATTATCTTTCCACGATTCATTGCACATACCTGCTAGGTTAGATATGCCATTTTCCAGGAAGTGATAAGTGACTGATGATTATAAGGGTGTTGAGGTGTATCAGAGTGATTTTATCCTTCTTGGTTATGATGAATAAGCTCATGTACAGAGACATTGTTTCATTACATCGTCTACTGGAGAGTAATAGTCTTGTATATGCAAATAACATGTTGTTGCTTAAGAAGGCATTTGCAACCCCAGGGGGAAGCTTTAAGGCTATTAAACGACTTCGTAATTATTTGCTCTTAAAGATATTCAGTATTACTAATAAGTATCACGAAGCTCCAAAGTTCACTCATCATCCTTCAAAATTTCTAACAGGCACCTCATCTGCTTTGTTTCAGTGACGGAGTTTCGCTCTGATTGCTTACAACCATACTATTTGACGATGAAAAGCTAAACAAATTAGACATAAGAACTACATATTTCAATAGTCACTACAAAATAAACCTGTAAATATTGTAAACTGCTTGTTGATGAAGCCTTCTGTGATGATTAGGTGTGTTTAAATTATAGTACAAACTAGGAATCCCAGAAATAACACAATTTAACTAAGAAGAAACCAGTGGGCACGAACAAACTTATTGCATTTAGAATTCGAAATCAGACAGTCATCAAGTACAGAGAGA